GGCCTTGTGTTTAACACTGCTGGATTAAAGTGTGGAAAACATCTGCATCAACTGGGGGTAACTAGTTGCACTGTGACTCTGTGACACATGACACAGAGAACAGAAGACATTTCAATTAATAACATACAATTTAATGCCTAATTCTGAATTAAAAAAGGCTCTTTTCACACCATAAATTCCATCAGAGTTTATCCTGCAATGACTACTTTAACTGTAAAATATACCATGTACTTTAACTGATGTCAAAGTACTGTTTGACAAACTCAGCTTCGCTGTTTCACACGTTCTATTTGTCAAAATTGTAGTCAAAGAAAAAAATTGCAGGAAAGTCTCTCCTCAGAAGTGCTTAAATCCCTCCGACAGAGTGATACTTTTAAGATAACGGAGAATCCAGAGCAATTCTGGGTGCTTATTTCAGTGTACAAAGCTTGTCTCTCTCCATGGGCGTTTGCCAGACTGTATTTATGTCTCTGTCTTAAATTCTAACGTATGTCCTTCAATTAACCTCTCGTTGTGCCAAGTTCCACAGAGGCCATCTCTCGAATGCCTTAAAGATATTCCTACCAGGCCAGTCAGGGTTGAAATTCTCCTTGGGTTTGTTGGCATGGATAATCTTCTCTTAATTTACTGTTCTGTAAAATGCAACATCTGTCTAACTAAAAATACATTTCCAAACACATGTGCACATAACGAGTTAGATTTTACTTTCAGCTTTCGTATCACATCAGCTCAGCTGCAGAGTTGCTGCTCACTCACCTCTTTGAAATGCAATACCAAACTTTGTGCCTTTCATGTCCTCTCCGTCTCTCTCTCCAGGAAACAAAATGGTTATGACAGATCTGCTAAAACCTGAGGAGATCAAGAAAGCTCTTGATGCCTTCGCAGGTCAGTAACTGTTGTAGAGGCTCTGTGTTATTCTCAGCAGCGCTGCAAAGTGCCAAAAGTTGGCCTTAAATTTTTTGCTGACCCATAAAAAATCTGTTTTTAAAAGAAATCTGTGCACATGGAGTTGATGTAATAAAATCTTTTATCTTTGCCTTGTCTTTTGTAGCAGAAACATTTGACCCTAAAAAGTTCTTTGAAATGGTGGGAATGAAGGCCATGTCGGCTGAAAACGTCAAGAAGGTCTTTCAGGTTCTGGATGTGGATGGTAGCGGATTTATAGAAGAAGAAGAGCTAATGTAAGAAACTCAAACAGATGCAAAAACACGCTAAAAGCAGACATGATGAAAGATACAGCTCTGCAATATAACACTGATGTCACATGTTCCTTAAAGCTGCCCTACAGTGACCCACTTTCTGCATCAACCTGCACTTTTCTCAGGTTTGTACTGAAGGGCTTTTCCAAAGATGGCAGAGATCTGACTGACGCTGAGACTAAAGCATTTCTCACAGCTGCAGACAAAGATGGAGATGGCAAGATCGGCATTGATGGTAAGAGAAAGGTGTCAAAATGTTTTCAGTTTATTCTTCAAAAAGATACAAAGAGGTGATGAGAGTAGGATGAGGACGGGGTGGGAGGAGAGCTAGCAAGTAGGCTTTCTGCACTTCCACAAATGCTGTATGTTGTGTGGGATTTTTCAGATTTTACCAAAATGTTTCTAATGCTTGATTCTTATTGTTCACATCTAGTGAAAAACTGAATATGACCGAAGCAAATTTGCAAGTTTGCAAGAAAAGACACACTGAGAAAAAAAAATGTAATGTCACCTGTGCAAGCTAACACCAACTTTTAAATATCTAATTTGTTTACTGGAATAAACATGTCATAAACTAAATCTGCCAATTGATCTTTTTTTAACATAATCATAAAAACACAATATCTGAAATGTTAGCTATGGTAACACCATTCAGCGACTTCAAGGGATGACAGGTGGAATGAATGCTTGTGCTTGGTGTATAAGGAATCCCATAAAATACACCAAAGTGTGGCTGGGCCAGATAGTGAACCTCCTGATGTGTACATTAGCGTGTGAATGTTAAATAGAAAGCAATTGGGCATAAAAAAGTGCAAGAATGAATGGGTGAGTGAGAAATGTTAGATAACTTGCTTTGCAGAAAACCGGAGCAACAGTGTGGCCTGTTGATGTATTAAAGGTGAAAGATTTGTTTTATGATATAGAAGCTTTGGTCCAGAGGAAAAACACAGTTCAAGGTTCCAGACACCATGAAATACTTGGATCAGTTTCTTGTTGGTGTTTAACTGAATATGGTGACAATGTTTCACTCATTTGTGCGCATTTACATTTTTGTTTTGCTCTCTTTTTTTTCAGAGTTTGAAGCCTTAGTGCATGAGTAGGGGAAAGCTGAACTCCCCTCTTGTTCTTCCTGCTCCTCTTTGTCCCTGCATCCACATTTTGTAACTGCGACCTTCAAACTCTTCCTCCCTTTCCTCGCTCTGGACCCCTCACACGGAGTCAGACCAGGCCTGCTCTCTGCAAAACACTACCAAAAACAGGTCAACAGGGAGTCCACCTGAGGAGGAACATACAGGCATAACAGGCACCAGTTTCACTTTTCATTTTTCTTTTTATATATATAGATAGATATATATATATTTAACCACACATGCTGTATGGATTTCAGAAGCATTCTTAATGATTTCGCGAGGATAGTCTGTGGTCAAAAAAGGTGGTACTAGTGTTGTAGATGGTGTAGATGTTCTCAAGACTCCTTAAATCTTAATTTCCTTCCTGCATTGTGTCTTGACTGGTTTTATTTCTAGATGTTCACATGTCAGTGCACTTTCCTCCCACTCCTCCTCTTTATCCACCTTCATTCACCTCCCTCACCTCAACCACCTCCTCCTTCTCCACCTCCTCCACCCCCTGCCTCTGATCAGATCATGTAGTAAATAAAATCATATAAGGAGAGCTGTGAAGAGAGAAAAGATCTCAGTATGAAATGATAATAAAAAAGAAAACTTGACGTGAGGTGTCTCTTTACTTATTGTTACTCGCAGTGAACACACAACATTGAACTCACACAAATACAACACACTGAACATCGCAAAACAGGTCAATCACTGGGATGGTGGAGAGCTTAAGCTTAACATTTTGGGAAACATGCCTTCTTTCTCAGGTTGCTTGCTCACACACACATATAAATATTTTGCCAACAGCCAGGTTTCATAGTAAAGAGACTGAAGACGTGGTGCTGACACATGAATAAAATGCTCTAGAAAACAGCGCAGCATCAGTGTTTTCTTCAAATTTCTGGCAACAAGCATACTTCCAAAAATGTTTAAATATTCTCTGAATATTTTTACCAACAGACTCAAACAAATATTAACATACAAACTCAAATTGCTGTACAAAGGTTTGTTAAAATAACCATTTTAGTTTAGTTCAGTCAGGGAGGATGGCTGATTTGGACATTGTAGCAATTTATATTTGGCGTCACATCACTATGGAGCAACAGGATCCTGGTACAGAACAGAGTGAACATTAATAACAAGAGATACAGACAGAAAGAAGGCCATGGGGTGGAGGCGGGTTGCAAAGTGGCTCGCAAGCCTGCAGCAAAACTCTTCTGGTCCTTTGTAGGTTTTAACATAAAATAAGTACAGTTCGTCATGTGTAACAAAACATGACATATTACACCTTTCTATTAATTATGTAACAAAAACTAAACCAAAATACTGAAGCAGTGTCAGAAAACAAAGCACATCACATGATTCCATAGAACCACCTTTAGCAGCGTGAAGTAATTGTGTGACATTATCAGCCAACATTGTTGTGGAGGAACTTTGATCCACTCTTCTTTGTAACACTGCCTGAGTTTATTGAGATTTGTGAGCTTTAATTTATGCATAGTTCTCTGAAGGTCCGATCGCAGAATTTCGGGTTGAGGTCTGTGCTTTGACTGAGGAGTTCAAGGTTGACTGTAAGGTTTCCAGGTCCTGTGGCTGCAAAACAAGCCCAAAGCATCACTCCGTCACCACTGTGCCGTTGGTAGGAGGGTTTTGTGTCGATATGCTGTTTGGTTTTCTCCAAACCTACTGCTGTGCATTATGGTCAACCACCTCTACTCGTTGTTCCCAAAGTCTTGAGTCTTGTGCAGATGTAACTTTGCATATCTAAGCTCTGCTGCAATATTTTATTTTTAGAGAGAAGAGGCTTTCTTCTGGCAACCATTCTATGTAAGCCATATCTGTCCAGTCTTTTTCTAATTGTACTGTCAAGAACTTTACAATTTAGCATGCTAACTGAGGCTTGTAGATGTAGCTCTGTGCTTTTTGGTAATTGTGTGAGCTCTGCAAAGTCTGACTTTGGGGTGAATTTCCTGGGGCATCCCCTCCTAAGAGGTTTGTAGCATTGTGTTCTGCTATATAGTGGTGGTAACACCAGCTGATGATTAGTTAATCAAGTCAATCTGACCAGCAGCGACTAGCTGCTACATACTCTCTTAATTAAAGTACCTGTGTGCTTAGTTTTTCACATTTTTCTGTAGCTTTGCTTAATTTTTGTTAAAGAAATTATGACACAGAGTAATATGTCATGTTTTGTAGTTCAACTGGGCTGCATTTAGCTAGTTTTAAAACTTAGAAAGGTCCAGATTAGTTTTACTCTGTCCTGATATATAAAACCTTACAATTTACCATAACTGTGGATTGATAAGTTCATAGTAGGAAGTTTTTACAACTAAAAATTAGTCACTCAAAGGTTAATCAGTGTTCCTTATATAAAATTATGAAAGGGATGTCGATGAGCTAATGTGAGCTGAGACTGCTCAGCGCAGCTTGTCTTTGTGGCCTGTCTGAATTAATGCTATGATCAACTCAATGGTTTTAATATTTGATTAATCGATGTGTATTACAGTATCTTCTTTGATATGGGAGATACGTTATCTTAAAACGGTACAAACCTTCTGGCCATTTCACTCAGAGCATTCACATTTCAGACATGTCACGTCATTCACTAACAAAAATGTATGTCCTGCCTCCACAACCTGATCTCACAGCATCAGTAACAAACCCTGCATGCACGAGTGCCGATGGATTAATGGATCTGAGGAGCAGATCTGTCATTGGTCGTCGTGGGACGAAGCTTTACCGTGGCGAATGGGTTTGTGCCTCTGAAATGAGAGGATGATGGAAAATGATATACAACACCACATGCACTCAACTGCTTTCTGCCAATACCAATAAACCACTCAGACAGAGGTGCACACACTCTAGGTTTAGACACTAACATCACACCACAGCCTGAGGGTGGTACATTTTGACAGTGTGCAATGAGCACTCTGTGGAGGTCTGTTTCAAGTAAACTTTGATCGGGTTTTATTGTTTGCAGTGGGAATTGGGATTCAAAAAGATGTTTCTTGCAGATTCTCAAGTGTAATCTAGTTTTCTGGGAAGACAATTCATAGGATTCATATATATTGGATCATGGTATATTGGCAAAGCAGTGCTGCACTGGCGTTTTTTTTTCCAGAACAATACATAACAATAATCCATAAATGCATACATAATCCATGTCTAATTACCTGGGAAACAGTGGGTTTTCAGGGGGTCCATGTGGTGATAATGCCTACAAAAAATACAAATAAATAAATGAATACAAATCCACACTTAGCACTGAAGTGTTGCGTATTTTTCTGTGTTAAAGAGACAATTTTCATTAAAGTCAAACATGTAGCACCTGGACGTCAGATGCTGATCCACCCTTTCTGTCAGGTAGGGGAGAAATGGGCCGAAAATCTCCTGAACTCCTCCTTGCACTCTGAATTGGTGGAGGGGGAGGCGGTGGGGGAGGAAGTGGATGTTCATTGTAGCTCCTTGTTTGACTCGGCTTCGTCTCCAATGCCTCTTCTCCCTTCTTCTCAGGGAGTGGAGAGATAGGCCTGAAGTCCACGGAGGCTCTACGATTGGGTGTGGCCGGGGGTGGGACGTCTCCGTAACTCTTGCTCTCTGACTGGTCGGCGTAGGTGTCACTGTCATTCAGATTGTTCATACTGTGACTTCTTAGAGAACTGCCACTGTTGGGGCAGAAGGAGCAGAATCTTTTAAGTGATTCATAGTGGGAAAAATATCTGGAATATTTTACTAAAGGATAACAAAATAACAACATGTCAAAGGAGCTTGCAAAGAAAAGCGTCTGGACTTCTTTAAGTTGCTTGAAGACGTTTCACCTCTCATCTGAGAAGCTTCTTCAGTTCTAAGGTCAAATGGTGGAGAGGAAGAAAGAGGAGTGAAAGAAGCCATCTATGTCCACTGTGAGCGACCATCTTTGAACAGAGGCGGGGGTTTACGACACCAACTCTCTGCCATCTATAATCCAGTTTCGAGTTCCCTTCCCAGACGCCTTAACGCCCACTCACTTCCTGGGCCATCTGATCTCAGGAATTCGCATGATAAGGTGGGGCCAGGTTTCACAATGAACACACCCGAAACTCTGGCTGATTGGGACCCACACCCAGTTTCACACCTTGGCTCAGGCGATTAGAGGATCATCAGGGGGTCCTTTTGTCCCTCTGGGGGGGGGATACTCACACTAGGTTTATATCTGGGACTCTCCACCATTTGACCTTAGAACTGAAGAAGCTTCTCGGATGAGAGGTGAAACGTCTTCAAGCAACTTAAAGAAGTCCAGACGCTTTTCTTTGCAAGCTCCTTTGACTACGATGACCTGGATGACTGAGAACCTTCACAGACAAAAATAATAACATCTTCTCCCAGAGCAGCAACCTAAATATTCACATATCATACAGATTAGATCCTGTGGTTTGCCCCAATATCTTTTTTTCTTGGTGTCCAGTGTCATGCCAGAGAAAGAACATTTTGGCATACAGATTTGAGATTAGTATCTGTCTCCTACCTTGTTGCTAAATTATTGGAGAAATCCTCAATAGGGGCCACGTACGCAGCAGGGAACCAGCCCTGACTGGAGGAGAAAAGACAGAAAATTAAACATCATGTGTCTTCCTGTCTTTACATAAATCAAAAAACTAATTCCAGCAACAGACTCTGTAATTCTCAGTCTTGTGTTTTTTTCAGCGCTCGTGTAGTCTGTCAACCAAACACAAGAGCAATCCTTTAAATCACAGGTTCTCAACCTTTTCCCACATAATAATCTTTTCCCTCATAATCCTAACACTGATGGTTAGATGGTTCGGGCTTAGCATCGCACGATGATGCGAACTAACCCAAAGCTGATAATCTGGGGAACCCTGAGGGAGATTTCATGAGAGACGGATGTGATGTGCCACAATCACAGAGTTTCTGTTTGTTTTACTGGTTTCTGGTCTTTTGAGTTACTATTATTTAGTTTTACAGTAATAATAGTATTTTTTTTTTAAATAGTATCATGAGCAAAACAAATTTGTGACTTGATCTAGGAGCTCAAAGTGGTAAAAGGTTGACATCTTTACCCTTTTATTGGAAAAACTCTGTGAGAGACTTTTTTTTTATAAGGCCATCAATTTTAAGATTGGGTGCAGATGATAACTGAACACTGTAAAGACGGAGCATTTCAAAAACGGCACATGCACGTAAATGTTTATTTCCCACCGCAGGCTGCTGTCAGTGCGCCCATACAGCCACCCGTTGCGTGGCTCCTGGACCAGGACGATGACAGTCTCGCCCCTGTTGAAAGGCAGGAGCTTTGGGTTGGATGAGGAGGGATGAGAAACCAGCGCTCTCATGACTCTCCCTCCTCCCAGGCCTAAAGATTCCCCCACTGAACTGGAGCGAGAGCGGCTGGGGAGGGGAGACGGTGCTGGAGGGAGAGGAAAGATGAAGGAGAAACAGAGAGGAGAAAAAGATTAAAAGAATATTAATAGGAATATTTTAGGCATGCATGAATGAATGCATATAAACAAGCAAAAATTAATACTTCTAATCTTCTCTGGCATCAAAGGTTATCAAATAATCACATATTAATATACAGCTCTTATAATTAGAACAGCACACCTCCCACCTCTAGAAGGGACTCTGCCCAGTGCGTGCTGCTCCCGCCTGGCCCAGGACATATCCTCATCTCTGGCTACCGTCTGCAGCAGGGAGCTCACTGAACCTCGCAGCTAAGCAGACACAGAATACAGATCCCACTGATCGGATTTTTTTATTTGAAGTCTGGCATAGCAAGGTTTGCTTTCAGCAGGAATATTACGATTATAAATAAACAATCTGGTGCTGGTGCTCGATTTAGTGTCAAGATTTCTAAAGAACCACAGAGACCAATGCTGGAAAAACTAAACACCATGTTGTACAAATAAACCAAGCAAATATGTGCTTACACTCGCTGTGAAGCACTTCAGCTGTAGATGATGGACTAAGCAACCTTTACAGCACAAATAGTACATTATTAGCAGAGAACAGACACATGAGAATACAAATACAGCTGCTGAACTAGACTGGGGATGCTAGTAAACATAACAGATGCCACTTATTAAGTGAATTTAACATAAATTATTTTAAATAGACTTTGGTTTATTTATTGAACTATAAGAAAAATAAGACGGTGAGACTTGACTTGGTTTCTGTTCCTATGTTTCCACAAATTCAAACGCAGCAGACTGTGCAGTGTTTCGCTGAGAAACCACAGCCACTGTACCTTGTTTTATAGTGCGTGGCATACTCATGTGTAATGTTCCTACTGGCTAAAAAAAAATGAGTAAACCTGATAAAGTGCTGGTACCTGTGCCTCTTGGTCTGAATGGGTGGGTGTTCGAGATCTGGAGACTCTGGTGTCATTCACTTTCTCTTTCCATCCGTCTGCCTTCTGCTGGAGAGATGCACCAGTCTGAAAACGGATTAGAGGTGAGCGCCTCATTCCATCTCAGTTTGATCATTCAGCAACATGACTAGGCAAGGCAAGTTTATTTGTGTAGCACAATTCAACAACAAGGTGATTCAAAGTGCTTTACAGAGACATTAGAAACAAAAACAAATAAAAAGCATGATTTAAAATTGATTAAAAACTAACTAACTAACTAACTAACTAACAAACAAACAAAACAGTATATAAGATCAAAAATCAAAACAGATAAAATCAGAACAGTAGATAAAATCAGTAGTTAAAATGTAAGTTTTGAAGTTTAAGCTTAAAAGTGTGGATTTGGTGCTTTATTCAAATACAGCTGAGAACAGGTGAGTCTTCAACCTGGATTTAAATAAACTGAGTGTTTCAGCTGATCTGAGGCTTTCTGGGAGTTTGTTCCAGATATAAGGAGCATAAAAGCTGAATGCAGCTTCTCCGTGTCTGGTTCTGACTCTGGGAACTGATAAAAGACCGGATCCAGATGACCTGAGGGATCTGGAAGGTTCATACTGGGTCAGGAGGTCACTGATGTATTTTGGTCCTAAACCATTCAGAGCTTTATAGACCAGCATCAGAACTTTAAAGTCTATTCTCTGATGGACAGGCAGCCAGTGTAAAGACCTCAGAGCTGGACTGATGTGGTCCACTTTTTTGGTCTTAGTGAGGACTCGAGCAGCAGAGTTCTGGATGAGCTGTAGTTGTCTGACTGATTTTTTTAGGTAGACCTGTAAAGATGCTGTTACAGTAATCAAGCCTGCTAAAGATGAATGCATGGACTAGTTTTTCCAGGTCCTGTTGAGACATCAGATCTTTTATCCTTGAAATATTCTTGAGGTGATAGTAAGCTGATTTTGTTATTGTCTTAATGTGTTTTTCTAGGTTTAGGTCTAAGACATATTGCTTCAGTAAATAAGACACATGACACTGAGAAGTGAGTTTCATCAGATGAACAAGATATTGGCAAGGTCCCACATGACTGGGATAAAAAGGCTGGGCAGTTCAGTGTCTTGGTGGAAAAAGCACTCCAAGCTCATGGCTGATGGCTGCAGTCGGCCTTCCCTTCACAACATGATGGATTGCAGCTGATGTAGCTGATACACAGAATACTAAGCTCCATCTACTACCATGAAGTGGGAAATGCAGCTTATCGGTCAGGACAGTAATTATATATTCAAAATGTTACAAAAACTAGTTATTGTTCAGTGTACCGGCTATATTGAAGGCTGCAAAAGTTTTCTTTCAAAGGAAACTTGTATTACATAATAATACATTCATCAGCTTTTTTTCTGATGAATGTAAAAGAAAATATAAATTAAGCAAAATTTTGTATTTCTGTATTATATCTAACATGTTTTTTGTTCCTTGTTTTGCAGAGCAGATTGTAGTGAGTATTTCTTTAAAAAGTATGTAATGTGCCTTTCAGCAGGTTACAAGGTTACTGGTGACTAAACTGACCCATCATCATGTCACCTAAAAATAAAAGATTTAAGGCCTTTACATACTGAACACGTAAAATTTTTGAAAATATTTCATATGTTAAACATTTTTTTTGGGACCCACCTATTAATGGAGCTTTTCACACCGACACCGTAATCTCCCAGATTTACAACATTTATTTTTCCTGCTTAAACTCGATTTTTCTGATTTCATTGCATTTGAATCAACAGATCTGACCAGTTACACCATTACATTTAGCAACAAGTGCACTTGTAGCTCAAAGAGCGCACTAGTACTGAATAAATTATGGCAAAAGTAAGATAATACCATTTTACCTTAATCTCACACAGATGCTGCTCAGGGTTAATCAACTCTACTGTGTAGGTTGGCCAGTGTGTATGAATACCTTGTTAATTAGGAACAGCAGTGACTGAGTGAGGCCACAGTGTTTCTCTGCCAAGAAGCGATACCTCCTCTCCTCCTCCTTTAAGATCTCCTGATGGCTCTGCCGCAGGTACAGCATGTATTCACTGTTCTCCTAAAACCGCACGCACAGGGAACAATGAACATGAGGGCATGCACCTACAATGATACACTCACAAGGTGTATTACTGGACTGTGTGTGTGTATTTGTGTGTGCATTAATATGAATGTGCATAATGTCAACACCTAATATTTTTCTATGTATGTTTGTGTAACTACCAGAGAGTCTCTGTAGGTTCCCCGTCTGAGCTGCTTCTCCAAAGCCTCCGCTTGGTTTCTTACTTCCAGCTCGTACACTCTGCGACTGCCCTGCGGCACAAAGAAAGTTTATTTGCAAACTATACAAAAATTGTAAGAGGCTTAGCAGGTCATGTTTATCCTAGTGCTGGTCAACCGCTCTCCATCTTTGTCCTCTCACCTGCTTGTGCTGCTGGCGATGCAGCACCCCTCTGTTTCTTATTCTAATTAAGTCCAAAGATGAAATTGCTGACAAAAGAACCAGAAGCTCCGTTTTCACTCAAAGAATTACGTGGAGTGATTTTTAAAGATAAGATAAGAGAACCTTATTAGTCCCACACATAGGAAATTTGTTAAAAGTAAATCTTGAGAAGAATATGGCCTGTTCCTGTCACAGATTACAGGGTTTGTTTAAAACTTTATTCATCTGTGTTTTTAACCCGTTCCAACTTTAAGACAGTTTTAGGGTAACTACTAATTATTGATGATTTCAAGCTGATCTGACTTGAAACAAAGCTTGGAAGCTTAAAATGTACTTTGTTAATTAAAAAAGAAAAAATAAATGAATGCAATAGTATTTTGAAACTATTACAGTCGCACTGTAGGATTGTTAAAGTTTGGTTTATTTACCATAAACCAAAAAACCTAAAATAGTCCAGAAAGTTTTCTTAATTTCACAGGCAGAAAAACGTAAGCTTTCCCAATGCATTACACTCACATCAATATACTCCTCGTCCAACTTGATATTCTTCTCCATTGCTTGCAACACTTCTATCTGGAACCATCGAAACTGCAGCAGAAAGAAAGAATTCAACTGGAACAGTGATGAACCATCTGTCCTCTTGTTTAAACACAGGCTTTAATTATCAGGTTCATTGTGCTGTTTGACTAAATCTAAATGCAAATGTGCTCCTTCCTCAGGCCAGCTTTGTAATCAGAGGCCATGCTTTGATTATTCATACCACAATTAGGCACAGGGGTTTTAGTGTCAAAAGAAAAATAACATACAGGGACAAACTAGTGTCCTCGAGGCTTTATGTAGCTAACTTCGATGAAGCAGTTTGTAAGAAGTGAAATCTGCTTTTACTAGCATCCTATAAATGCTGAACTCACAAATTCAAAGATCTGGGGACAAACTGGGGAAGTTACATTGAAGCAAAATACTAATTGTAGCTGTTTTTACTCATCATTTGACAAATAATGTATAGCGGTTATTATTCTGTCAAATATAGCTTAATACCCACCAAGCATTATTTTCAGTTTGGTAAAAACTTTCAAGCAAACAAAATTAAATTCACAGAAGTAGAACTGCTGTATGTAGTATTTTAAAGACTGCAGGGATCAGCATTTACTGAGGAAATGTACCAACCACTCCCTCCATCTCTGCAGTGAGCCTCCTCTGTGTTTCTGAAATCTGGATCAGGACATCCCCTGTTCAAAGAAAAAAAAAACAATTCTGTACGGAAAAATATTTGAAGAAAGCGAAATCTTATTGGGAATGTCAGTAATTTGATCTAAAACTTTAACACAGTGTAAAACCACTTGAGCCATGAACGAGTCCGGTTGCTACGATGGTGGAAAGTTAGCCAACCCTATATACTGTGGGCGCCTCCGGCCTTGTCTATTGTCAAGGATTGCGGTTGAGCTAATAAACTGAGTGGAGCTGAAAGACTGCCCTCATCTATAATTCAGTGGCTGCCACTCAATAGGGCTCCTGGTCACGCTGTGGTTCCCTGACCTTCACAGTTAGCCAACCTACCGAAACCACATGTATGCTAGCCAACACTGTCTTAATAGTAGCATAAAGCTAATTACCGCTGAAGAATGATAACACACATCTCTAATGACAAAGGGAAAGCTTCCATAAAATATAGTGCACACACACTAGCTAAAAGAATCAGTAAATACACACACACACGTATATGTAGCCTATATGTATGAAAAGAAGGAGAGTACAATTGAAATTTACTTTGTGTGGTTTAAAATCTAGACTGTGTTTGTGCAAGTGCAGTGTCTCAGTAGAGCACTCTTGATAACGATGCTTCTCTAATGAAAGCAATAAATCAAGGGTGAAACCTGTTTAATAATGAGTCACAAATACACACACTCGTACCAAGGGAGCGAGATGAAAGTGTGTGAAGTGCCTGGTCGCCCATCTTAGCCACAGCGCTGAAATAGGCCTCACTGCAAACGCCTAAGGCTGCAACATACAGACATCGAGAGACAAATGTAGCTTTTCACATTTAGACAAATCAAACTGACAAATCTATAAACTCTACAGTAACATCACAACCACTTAAACTGCTTCTTATTGTGTCGAACAGTTCTGCTTTTATTCATTACTTTTAAAAGACTGGCAGTGTTATTTGATATGTAATTCTGGTCTAAGAATAGCCTCGTGCCACTTGGTATAGTTTTACGGCACAGCCCCACTGCCCTGTGGCTGATAGCCTGAATTGTTTTATCAGGCACAGAGATGCATGAATGATGCATGCTGCTTGCACTATGCAATGTGACACACGTGATTAAGATTGGAAAATGTACAATGGAAAAGTCGGACAACTCGGACATGCAAATAAAAGGTGATGCACACAAAAAAAATCTCTCATCTCTGGAGAAAAAAAGGTTTTAAATTCTGCTTAATGTCAGCAATCAAATAGATTATTTTTATCAAATCATATTTTCATATTCACATGTACAAATCTCTTTATATCTTTTCCTAACCAAATAACTTCTACAAATGAGTAGGTCCTTGATAGACATTTACAATCCTGTGACATTTTTTGGATTTTAATTGCAGCTTGTGGCCTCCTTCTTAGGGTCTCCATGGGCAGACTTTACTTCAATCATCTCTGTACAATCCTGATCCAACATCTACACTAGTGCTAACAACAAAATCCACATTCTCCACAGTGTAACTGCTCCTTTCAGTCATTCACAACCTCGCTCACCTTGAAAGGCCTTGATGTAGCTGTTTCCAAGAGCAACGAGCTTCTGAAGGCCTGGGTTGAAGTGCTCCATCAAGTTCTGCAGAAACACACGAAATACAAACTGAGCACCACACCAGGTGAACTCAGCAGTGACTTGAAGCGTAACGCTAAAATGTATTTTTATACTCACCTCCAAGTGCGCCCCGGCCTAGTTTAAATATACAAAATCCTTCTTTAAATAATGAATACTATACCGGTCCCCAGGTTTCAACACAATGAACAAAAACAAAAGAAACATGATGTAAACTCACCGAATAGACAGATAAAGTTGATTTGTGCAGCTGATCACTACTGACTCCAGACATATTGATCGATTTCAGGTTTAACGATAAAATGAGAAAAAGCTGGTCAGAAAAAAACTAAACTTCTGTAAAAAGTCTGTATTCCCAGAAGTTTACTGTCCCGTGTATATCAGCGTCTTAAGGCTGAGAAAGTCACCTTCAGCTATCCTCCCACTGCTTCTGCTGTTTTCCCAAAGACCAATAACACCTATCTGACAGTTCCTTCTCCTTTTTTTCAGTCATTCGTTAATGAGCTCTTTTACCCTTATGTCATCAGCAGTTTTTCTGGAAAAAGCAAGTGAGCAAGGGTAAGAGAAGAGGTAAGGGAGTAGCTGACATCGATACGGCTGAGCAAGGTAAATTATTGATTGGAGCCCTGAAAGGAAAGGAGAAGGAGGACAGCCAGCTGCCTAACCATCCGTGACGTATCCTCACACCTGAGGGAAAATCCTGCCACAGTTTGTTTGACTGACGAGAAACAAATTTCCGTGTTAAAAAGGTACAAATTACTTAAATATAGTTAGCTCACAAAATGAAGTAAAAGTTTTAATGCAAACATTTTTCGTGCTATGGGGACATTTATGTGTGGAAGTAGAAGAGTAGAAGAGAGTGAGCAGCAACGAACTGTTCCAGCTTCTGAAATCAGGCAGAAGGTTTCGCACCATCCGAACAAGAACAGAGAGGCTCAAGAGGAGTTTTTATCCTCAGGACATTCGTGTGTTGAATCACCCCCATCATCCTTAAGTGACTGAGACAGGACTCATTAGCTCATTCTCATCATCCTGAATCCTTCTGGCCTCGCTATAGCACAAGACACTTTAACACCCTCCTCTCGCAATGTACACAAGCTGTAAATTTCCAGATTGTTTTATCTTATTTCATTTCTATTTATATAATGTACATAACTCACCCACTTGCCGCATATAATGTCCTCCTTGTATATACTTATTCACTGTATATAAAGTTCTGTCTGTCTCTTTTTTTTCTTTGCACAGTCGAGGAGCGTATCAGGTCACATTTCACTGCCTGTATAACCATGCACGTGACAAATAAAGAATCTTGAATCTTGAGAGAGAAAAAAGTATTCCACTTTAGACTTTGTTTTAAGTTTCTTCTCTTCTTTCCAATTATTCTGTCCTGGTTTCTGTTTGCTGTTTACGTCTGCTATGTTTTCCGGTCGCTCCCCTCTACTCTTCACAGCCCCACGTGACTTTTTACTTCATGAAATGACTGTAACATTCTTCTGTTGTGTATTTTGTCTGCATTTGGATGCAATCTGATAAGCGGAACTTTTCCAGGAAAAGTGTTAGTTCCCTTTCAAAAAACTAAACTAAATCATCACTGAATCTTCAGCCAGTGCATGTGAGTTCTTTATATAAAGCTGAAACAGTTTCAAGTGGAATTATTAGCAATCATTTTATTAACACAAACCAAGTTGAGAAACAGAAAAACAGAAAAAACATTAAATGTAGACGAAAACTTGAATTAAAGCTCAGATTCACTCAGAGTCACTGTTTGGTGTACTTAATGCTATAGCTGCACTAAACCAAATACACGGAAGTCTTTTCATTAGGTGTTTTGTACCAAAAGTGTTGAAAACACACATACAAAAAGAGCCAGTACCAGGCAGGCCCACAGAGCAGAAGGACACATAATATTGCAGGGAACTGACTAGCTAGCCCCCGAAAAATGTTATCCTATTTATGACAATACTACTGCATTACATTGTGTTAATGATTTATCATCATGTGTCTGACAGTTACTAATCAAAGTGAGTTTTAAAATTATATAGCTCCTATAAATGATATTTTATAACTCTGAACTCCTGCATCATGTTGCAGAAGTATGAAATAAACAGATATAATGTGACAGGTAAGTGAGACTGCTCTAACCAGAGGGAGCGGCCACGTCTTTCAGAGAGGCCGTGTCCTCATAGAAGACGTCTTCACCGTTGTCATTTCTTTTCTGCTCTTTTTGACAGCGACTTACAGTTCCTAGGACAGTTTTCAAACGTCGATCTAAAGCCGTAAGGTGGGGCTCTGCCAGAAGTGGGGCCACCTTGTGAAGGGGATCACGAGAAAGTGACGCTCTCATAACATCGCTTAATCGATACTGAGGCAAAGTCAGGAGACGCAGGCGTAGCCAAGTGGAGCGACGGATTCTGGAGAGACAGCAAAGTTTTTAAAAAAGAAGATAAATGGAAAAAGGAAGTTACTTTGGGATGTTTCAAAATTGCCAAATGACAGGGTAAGAGAATAGGATGAAGAAAGAGAAAGAGGAACAGCATCTGATGGTTAAGGTACAATGTGATTGTTCTCTCACACTTTCTGAACTAAGCCAAGGAACTTTGTTCTGTCTCCCTCCATTCAACCCCAACCATCCACGACAGCTGGCTGCCCATCCCTGAGCCTGGTTCTGCTGGAGGTTTCTTCCTGTTAAAGGGGAGTTTTTCCTCCCTACTGTTGCCAATGCTTGCTCATAAAGGGTCGTCTTGATTGTAAATCTATTACTGTAGAGTCTTTATCCTTGCAATGTAAAGCACCATGAGGTGAATGCTGGCGTGATTTGGTGCTATATAGATAAAACTGAACTGAATATTTACCTGATGTATAAGTAATTCACTACATGTATGTGATGGTCTGGTTTATACCTGCAGCACTGTTTTAAGGGAGTTAAGATCGAAGGCTCATCTTTGGAGTGACGCCCAAATCTGCAAAAGAGGACAGATCCAGAGTCAGCTATGTCAAAGTTACAGTCTGACCAGCACCTCTGCCCAGTATATGAGCAACACATACAGAACAGAAATACTCACGCCCTCCCATTGTCAAGGTGTAGCAGAAAAGTATTATTGACAAATTTCTCAAATGTTTCATAGTGGTGCCTGTCCATGTTACCTAAAGAGAGAAAGTAAAAGAAAGGATTTGCTTAGTAATCGGTAACCAAACCTGAAACATTTTACATGTTGCATACATATAAATATTCTGGCATAAACATCTTTATGCTTACGGCTACTGTGTGTACTTTTGTGCGTCTGCCATCTACAGATTGAGTCACATTTTATTCAGAAAAATACTTTCAACTATTTTAGGGAATGTCATCCAAAAGAAGAGAAGACAGTGTGGAGCTGAAATAATCACTTTATAGAAGTTTGTTAAATTCTTTCTTTTTTTCAGAACAAGAATGACGAGACATGAAAGTGGATTTATAAATTTATTTGAAGGTTCACATAAAATCACAGGAGCATCAGTCCTCATGACATACTGTATACTACAATCTTTGCATCATTTCATTTAACAATCACAGCAGATAAGGCAGCTGAGTACAGTCAGAGTCTACTCACTAGTCTCACCCTTCTCAAACTACACAGAAGAGGATCTAGATTGGTATGAAGGGGGACTTTTGTGATAATGTTAACATCAGCCAGTCCTGAGCTTCCACTCTCCAACCCTTCGTCCAGATAGAGTGGGCAGTGGTAGATTGGTACCTGAGGGGTAGTTAAGGAAACGACGGCTGCACAGTGAACATTCCTGTTATCCATTAAATATGAACTTTTGCAGGGGGCTGTATCATGGGAACTGTTTGTGCTCCTGACTTGAGCTTTAACACAAAGAAGTGGTACTGAGCAAGACTGAGGAGAGACAGTGTCCTGTAGGACTTGCAGTTGTGTATCCCATGATGCCCCTTTAAGTTCCAGGCCACACAAATACACAGAATCCAGAGGAAGTGAGATGGGGTATGTGCTGTAAGACAGAACCTGTGTGGACAAGAACATCAGAGCTTATTATCCTTACTAACATGTTTAGTGGTAAGGAAATAAGTGTTTACTATAATTTTTAATTTGAATGCTTTACCTGGAACTGTAGAATTATATCAGTGATATATTTACGATATACTTGAGCAGCCTCTCTCATCATTGCCACCAGCAGGCCTCTGGCGTTTTTAAAAGCAGATAGTCGATAAGCACCAGGTGGATCTGAAGCATCATGGTGCCACAGATATGCACTGAGCAACTCTGCCCTCCTCTCCAAGCCAGACAAGTCAGTGAGCTTGAGGAGGGACGCGAAGGTCAGCGAATACTGAACAGGCTGCTGCAGCTGTGAGAGGAGCAAGGATACCGAGTCAATGAGATCATCCCACTCAGCTTGGAGGAAGTCACGCACAGGACCACGAGGAAGAGCTCCTGCACTTTCATTCTTGCTTGTGAGGTAGCGCTTCAGACCCTCCAGTCTGACTCTGGCATCACTGAACGCTGGCAGCGTAGCAAGCTGCTTTTCTTTGGTGCTAAAACGCCTTACTGATCGAAGGGGAGTTTGCGAGGTCCGCAGTAACATGGTCATGTTGTAGCTGGTGATCTTGATTATCTCAGTCGTTATGTCAGCATTAAAGCCCAGCACCACGGGCTCGCTGATGTTTGCTGATTCCCAAAGACCCTGCTCCACGACCTGCAGCTGTCCAGACAAATCTGAGGGCATAAAACATCCCAAATCTATTTTACAGAGAGCAGCCAACAGAAAAGCATTCTCACACACACACACGCACACAAACACACAAAAACACACACACACACCAGCTCTAAGTCTGGAATTCAGTCTCATTTTGGTGCAGTATTGATGCACCAGTGTTCTGAGAGCTTTAAAGAAAAAATTGAACCATTTCTCGTCAACAGTGAATGTTAGTTAAATTGGTAGAAAAATGTCCAGTTACCAGAGTGACCAGAACTTCTGACAAGTTTTGAAAGGATGTGCGGTCCGCTGTTCAAGTGACGTGAAGCTGTAGTGAAGCAGGTCTTGGCAATGTCCTCCAACACCTCCAAATCTGCAGAGTCTGTCACATGGCCACCATACACTAGACTGACTACGAATGGAAAGCAAAAGTTAATTAATCGAACAGTAACTGAATTAGGGTGTTTTATATTTTCATATTGCTTCACCTGCTAAATATTGCAAAACCTTAGTCTTGTCATGGCACAGATGGGCAACATGAATATATGCATCCACTAAAGCATGAAGGTCCTCCTGACTCCTTCAAAAAAACAAAAAGAAAATGTATACATTTATTTAGATTATAAATCTTTAAACATCATACAACAACCTCTACCTCTTCATCATAAACAATTTATACAATGCATATTTACTTCCTTACCAGTGATAGATTCTTCCCTGGCCTAAATACTTGTAGGTCTGTCGCTGCACCAAGACAGAGTGAAAGATAGCGCAGCGGAGGAGTGACTTGTTGTCAGCCATGATACCCAACTGTGGCTGACTGATGGATGCCACCTGTCGCAAAGAACAGCTCAGCTCCTCCTTCAGATCCCAGGAAGAGTCACAGACCAGATGCAGAGCACACATTCGCACTGACGCTGTTTAAAAATAAAGACAGTCATTTCAATCATTATGATTATTACAACAAGAGCAAAACTGGAGTAGCTGTTTTTCTGAAAGCACATTTATAACACACATTTCCAGCACGCCAGCCAATATTACTCACACGAGCATAGGAGAAACAAAATGTGTAAGTGCCCCACTGCTGACCTACATAAAGCACTCTGTCACTAAAAACAAACCATGACATGGTCTGTGCAAAAGCTTCACTTTAGGAATCTTTCACATATACCTGTGAAAAATAGCTCTCCTTACACTGTAAAAGGTTGGAAGTGTACTAAAGTACAGAGTTACATGTTAATCTTCAAGCTGAATGGACCAACAGTGATGCTACTTTTAACAGTTGTTCGCTGTCATGACAAAAGTATGCTTCAGTACAACAAGATCTTCATTTCATAAATTAGGGTCACATTTAGAGTAAAATAGAACAGATGGAAATAAATATTTGAAAAAGCACCAACATAATAGATCTACCTGGTATGAGGTGTGATGTGTTTTCTTGAGTTATAAACCACAATCGGAAGCTGGGGTGAATCAGACAAGGCTTCTCTGTTTAATAGGATGAGGCACATAAGTAGGCGGAAGAATCCACAAACATAAAGACTGGACAAGTTCTATAAATACATTTAAACTGATTTTGATTTACCCCCTACCTTTGACTGAGGAGATTAAATGACTGAGTTTAGCCACTACGTCATCATCCAGTTGTTCGAACAGATGACTGTTGTTAAACACCAACCAGTGGCCGTCATTAGCAGCTTTGTCCAGCATTGAAAGGAAGAGATTTCTGTCACAGAGAGCCCAAAAGGAAAGGACTTTCACCTGAATCTAAAGCATAGGAAGAAATGCATCAAGCACTGTATTACAGGAGTAACTCTATAATGGCAGAAAAAACTGTGCTGTCACCTCTTTTTTTCCTGGTACACATTTGGCCAACTGGTTTATTAAACAAAGAGGCTCAATGCTTATCTGCATATCTCTATTTGGATTGGGCAATGTAAGAATGATGGGCTCCTTATGTTTGACCAAATATAGTGAGCATGCCTCTGGGTTCCCAACGAGAGGGGCTTCAGTCTCTGTTTTCTTTTGAGGCAGGCAGAGTTGACAGGCATTTATGGCATCTGCTAGTCCCTCCAGACAGTCGGGGATCATGGTCTTCCAGAGGAGAGCCCGCTGCAGCAAAGAGAGATGGCAGTGAGAACGACAGGGAACGGGCCCTAACACTGTAGAGGAAGGAAAGTGAAGGTACTCCTGCCATTGCTTCGGGGAAGCACAGAGTGAGGCAATTAGGCCTCTGAATGAAGGAATCTTTTCCAAGCGAAGTAGCTCTGAGTGGATAAGTGGGGAAATCCAGCTGGGAAGATCAGCGATGGAGGATGGTGAATCAGTCCCAGGATGCTGTGTGTCTCCAAGGCCTATGAGGAAGGCCAACCTCTCACCCTCAGAGCACAGCTGGTTGTGCTGGAGCAGGGCTAAAGACACAAGCAGCTTCAGAACAGCAGCATGGGTCTTGAAAAGACAAGGCCTGTATTGTACCAGCACTTTGACTACCATCGTGTTTATCAACTCTTGTATTATGCTCCCTGGAACTTTCCCTATTATCCTGTCCTCCCCAGTGAAAGCTTCTTGCATCACAGTCATGAAGCCATGTAGGGAGAAATAATAGGCAGGGGAAAGACTGGACACAGCCTGCAGGGTCTGGTAGAGAGCGGCACCCAGCCTCACGAAGTGGCGAGGCACTGCCAGCAGGGACTCATGGTGCTCCAGCTGCTCCCTCAGCTGCTTCATCTCATCCTGCAGCTTCTTCGTCACTTCTTGACAAACTTTTACACGGGGAAGAAAATCCGGGTCTTGCAGCAGGACAGTGTTAGACTGCAGGATGTAACCCATTAGAGCGTCCTAAGATGAGAATCAGAAATAACTATTAAAATTTAACATAAAACTTTTAGGTAAGACTTAAAGCTGACACTGCAGTTTGACTGAAAAAAAATACAACCAACCCTAAAAAATTCAGGACACAACTGGTACAAAGTACAATACCATTGATAAAATGGACAATAAAAGTCAGGTCAAAATATTCTGTATGAATGTGTTCAGCTTATAACATGAACATGACATGATATAAAATGCCCAATTTTCAGAAGAACTACAGCATAAGCAAGCTCCTTATATGACCATGATGGATTGGGTTTTAAACTACTTTACATTCAGTGCTGTTTTGTTTAACACAAGGTAAGTCACTTGACATCAGTATGATGCAAAAGGCTGGTCTAGTCACCTCCTCTGTGGCCAGTTTCTCCCGCAGCTCCTGTTTGTAATTCTGGAATTGCAAGTGTTGAATCAGCAGCTCTTTACACTCAGCCTGCAGCAGCTGTGTCAGCATCAGCTCTGGGATGTCTTCTGAGCTCAGAGAAAGGTCAACCACACGTACCTGAGCCAAGATAGATGGATGGATCCCTACAGCACAAGAACAAGACAACTACTAACTAAACGTTTTCCAGAGAATTTCCAGAAGAGGATCTAGTTTACCTAGTCTCTACATTAACATTTGGTGTTAACCAAGACAAATGTCATTTATTTTACTTGCTCTACAAATAAAATCAGGAATGAAATCTGGTGTAAAGTTAAATTGTCGCCACTAATCAAACTAACCACTGTTAAGTAGTCTAATCGGCAGACATGTGCTGAGGAAGAGGCAAAACTCAGGATGGACCATCTGAATAGGTTGATTTAATCCTGGAAAGTAACATCCAGCAGGACGTGACAACTTGGCCAGGAACTGAAGATTGGGGATTGCACGCTCCACATGAGTAACCAGTACTCTCAAACCTACAAAACAAAAGATTAAAAATGATTATTATGGTGAAAAAAAACAGACTATCAACCTTTACTTGTATTTTTCTTATGTCACCTCTCTCAGCAGCCTGGTCCAGCTTGTGCACCAGTTCCACGTCATCTCCACAAATTACCATCCCAAAATCTATTTCTTCCTCAAGTTTTGTGTTCTTTCCTGTTGAGTAGATATTTATCATACACTGGTCCAATACAATTCAGTCTTACATGGAGTTGTGTGATTTAAAAATCATAAAAACGGTCTTTGTATAGAAATAAAAAGGGTAACAAGCATGCAGTGGATAAAAAAAAAATCAGCCACAGCAATCAAACCACTAACAGGTGAAGTGAGTAACTTTGCTTATCTTGTGTCACCTATGAAGGGTGCATATTAGGCAGAAAGTAAACAGTCAATTCTTAAAACTGATGTGTCAGAAGTATAAAAACATGCATGTGTTACATTGTAACAAACAAACTGTGATGGCTAGATAAAAGTCTCCAGAAAAGCAAGTCTTGTGGGATGTTCACTCTACACACAACTTCCTGTTTGCTATTTCATATCAATGTATCCATGTTGATCCTTGTAGACAAGCATCTACACTAAACATGATTGTTGGAACTAAACAATAGAACATGAGCAGAAGGGCTGGTCTGATGAATACCATTTACCATCTGGGGATGAGATGGCAGCATATTGAAATAAAAGAAGGTAGCAGGCCAGTAGAGTCTCTGCCTTCTCTGTGCAGTGCTGGAAGAGCTGATATTGCATTCATGCAGATACTACTTTTGCACATTCTACCTACATAAACACTGTTTACACCATGTACACCCTTTCATGGCGACAGTCTTTCCTATTGCCTCTTTCAGCGTACACATACAAAATGCTACACTTCAACAACTTCAACTTTGATGAATGTCCCAAAAGTGTTCAAGGTCTTGACTCATCCAATCTGATCAAACATCTGTGGGATTTGTTAGAACAGCAAGTACAATTCATGGAGGTCATATCTCACACGTTACACAATCTAATGGTCTTCTGCAAAGAAGCTAACGGATAATAGCACAGCACAACTTCAGAGGTTTTGTGGTGTTCATGCCTACATGAATCAGTCCTGTTTTAACTGACAAAGGGGAACCTACAAAATAATAGTTGGTTTTAATGGTTTCATGTTGTGGTTGGTCCAAGTAAATGCTACATGTGTAATTAATCATTTTGAAAATGTAGGCACATACCTGGGATGAGACTATTTGGAAAATTCATCTCCAGATGTTGCTGGCTGTCTACTAGTAGAGGCCAATGCTGGATGTAGGTACTTCTGTATCCACACAGCAACAGCTTAACCATCAGCCTGGCAGAGAGAGTGTCTTCAGTTTGCCACTCATTCATCCCTAATGCCTGACCCAAAGGCAACTGCAATCTCTCAGTTACAGGGATGGGAAAACCAGGAGATAAGGAACCAGGTACAGTGTCTAACTGTGTAAACAGAGAGGTTCTGGGGTCGTTGGGGTTTATGTCGATGCTTCCTGTCTGGCACAGAGTCTGCCACTTGCGCAGCAGTTCTGTGCGTGTATCAGGTCCAAAAGGGCCTAAATACGAGACGGTTGCAGCCAAGAGGAGGGCGTCTCCTGGCACGTTTTGATTACGTACCTCTGTATCCTGGGCAGAAAACAGAGAAAAAATAATTTTCAATAAAGAAACATTCAAAAGTAAGTATGTTAAATGTGATATGTTAAAAGTGATGCACAATGTTTGCGAATTACCTGAGCAACAGCCCTCCAAACTTTGCCATATGTCTCACTCTGCCCAGCACATGCAGAAGCTTCTTGCTCTGCACTTTCAGCTTTGTGTAGCAGCATCAGTTGTTCCATTAGGTCATTTTGAACACACTGCAGATGAAGCTCAGTGGCCTCCAGTGAGCTGTATACCTCCTGCTTGCGCTGCTCGGCTCGATTCAACCGACTTCTCGTCTCTGCAGCCTGAACCTCCAACTGCTGCTTTAGGAGCACTCGCTGCTGAACACAGCAGTACTCATACACAGCCTGGACCCATCGACAGAGGGATTCGCAGGCCTTACTGACCTCTCGCACAGCCTCAGGCACAAACTGGGGACTGTGAACTATCTGCCCAAGCTGTTGCAGCTGTTCATTTGTCAGGTTGTAGCGGTCAAAATATTCCAGTTCCTGCACAAGGAGACGTTAGTAAGACAGTAAGTTTAAAGCCTCAAAGCTACATTGACAAAGAAACTGGAACATAACTACACAAACTGATAAATGATGGCACAACTTCAGATTTATCTTTACCCTACTTATGACATGCTATTTAATTCACTGACCACTGCAATCAATGAAATCTGTAACAAATTTGCTGCAAGACATTTTTTTCCCACCTGGAAAAAGTCTGCTTGGGAAAGAAGTTGTTTAGCACTTTCCCAACCCGGTGGATGACTAAACAGCAAACAAATAGCATCCATGACTTGCACAACTCCCACAGGTGGGTCTCTGTAGTGGCGCACCTCCTCCACATCCGATGGATCCAAACACTTAAGAATCTGAAGGCCTGACAAGAATGCAGGTTTTATCTGGGGGAAAAAATTACATGTGAACCTAAAGCTCATTTTTGTGTAACAGTACTATTAAATGTTCCCAGTTTTTTCTGTCAAACTACCTCGAATGAATAAAAAGGTATTTTATAATGGGCGAAGAAATGCTTTCAGTTATTTCAAGGATTTAGAGCTACTTATTGTAACAAAAAGAAAACAAGTTGACCTGTTTTTGAGCCTGATTAATCTGCTCTTCCAGGTAACACAGTTGCTGGTCCTCTGCAGCGCACTTCTCACAGGCTTCCTCAAACAGTTTCTTATGATCTTCTACTGCTTGAAGGAGCTCTTTCTCACGCTACAGGACAGAGAGGATGGAAGCGTGGCGTGTATGTAGTTAAACAAATCATTTTTTGCTGCAGACGTGCTATAAACCGAATGCTGCTTATTTAAACTGAAATATTAGCTGAGGCTACTTTAGCATAACGTGTTCTTTAAAACTACATTTTTCCCTGATGTGTAGTATGTTCTACATAAGCATTTGAAGTGTGATGAACACACATATCTTTTAAATAACTTTTCAATGTGAATAACCTTGTGTAGTAGACAGGCAGACCAACAACTAAAACAGTACATGCTAAAGTTCTCCACTTTACCTGGTCTGTTTCAGAAACCATCTTCTGCACACTTATTAAGTGCTCTTTACGCTGCATGGATATGTTGTTCACTGCATCCAAACGAGACACAGCAGCAGCGATTCTAAAAAAAAATATATATATATATAAATATTATTGTGGACAAACATAGTCATTTCTGTTTAAAACATAATAGGATGTTAGCCTGCTGGTTTTGGTTACTGTGATTAATGTAGCTGTGTGACATTTTGTAGAGGATGTAGTCTGTGGTACAGTTGTGCTATAAAGTTGTGCTTTTTGTACCAACTATAATTTGGCTTTAACAGGAAAAAAGGTGCTCACAGAAATATTTTCACAAATGTGTTGTTATATGTGCAGCAGGATATCAAACAATGGAGATAAAGGAAGGAAAAGAGGGAAACCTCCTGGTCTCAGAGGTACCTGTTGGCTTTGTCCTGGCACTGCTTGTGCAGGAGGCTGCAGAGGTAACCAAAGTGGGCAATGAATTCCATATAAGTCTGAGGACTGAAAGGCTGATTTCTTAGAAGGACAGAAGCATACTGGAATGCAGACCGATGGATCCCTGCCATAGCCACAGACAGGCTGGCCTCTGAGCTTCCTCGAACCACTTAATAAAAAGAAAAGGACAAAGGTAATGTCTCGCTACAGTCGAGAGAAAAACAAAAAACAAGGGGTTTAGATTAATCCTGATGTTGTGTCTCACAAGGGCTTGTTTTGAGGCACTGAACAGCAACTTCCACCAAAGACTGGTTAGACCACGGCTGGTACACCTCAACACAACAGCTGTGCCTGAGGGCCTTGGCCATTTGTCCCTGTACAACAAATAATGTGCAAATTAAATTAGGAATAAACCCTGAGCCAATTTGTAAAGTTGTTAGCTCTTTTGGCCACACTGCAGACTTTCAAAAGTAGTTTAGTATTTGAGTTGTTTTTTTGGTATGAAATAAATGCATAGGTTTCAATAAAAATACTTACAACCCAGCTTTGTGCTTCATTTTTGGAAGGTATGTCAGTGCTTTCTGACATGCTGTATGGCATTAGCAGGAATATGTGGATATTTCTGTGGACTTGACTCAAACGCCTTTGTTAAAAAAGAAAAACAGTACATCTGGTTTAAATGTTTTCACACATTGGCTTTAAAACTGACTGCAAAATATTTTTTCCAATATATCCCTTCTTAAAAATGTTTTTTCCAAATCTACAGTATAACTGAATGTTACATAAACATATACCATCACTTTACATACTGTATTTAAGTACGTTTAAATTGACACTGACTATACCAAACGTATTTAGGTCTGTTTTGGGAGAGTTATGTGGTGATAATCTATCTCTCAACATGATGAGCATTAGATCAGCTACTTTTTCCTCTTACTTCTCAAACATCCAGTTGTCCATAAGATATCTTCGTGAGTATTTTGCTGCAGTCATTCTGGAAACAAGGTCCCTCAGCTCTTCGTCGGTGAAGAGTGCCGGACAGGCACCGTGAGCCATCAATACCAGTAATTCTTCTCTGACAGACTGGCTGATTTCCTCATGGACCAGTATGATGACACTGATTCCATCCGACCTAGTCTTATTCCTAGCTTCTTTCAGGATTTCATGAAGATTATTTTGATTACCAGCATGTATCTCCAATAACTCATAGCCTGTAAGGTGGGCAGCTAAACAGACAGTGGTTTTGCGGCCTGTGCCCCTATCTGAGCCAATCAGCACTCCATGACCTCGAGGTAGCAGCAAAGCCCTGATAATGTGTAACAACTGACTCACCCTCTGTCTGTGTAAAATGTATTTGGTTGTGATGCTGCAGTCAGGTCCTTCACCTTCTTCTTTTCCGTCCGTAAGTACACACAGCTTTTGCACTAGCGTATCAAGGTCTTGCTCCTGATAAGAAGGGCTAAATTTAAAATATTGTTTTATCGACTTCAGGGCCTCAGAGAGATCAGGACCAAATGCAAGTTGTGCCATCGTGTCTTCCAAATACTGAAGAATCTGTGGTTGCTGAAAGATGTTTTCAGGCTTAGTTAATGCGCTGTGCAATTGGCTTTGCTGGTTTAGATCTTTAGGCAGATCTACAGGGTCTGTATTTTCACCTGCTGGCTGACTGTCCCCATCGATTTCATTAGCCAGTTTCATTCCATAGTGTGTTGCTGCTGTCTTGGCTATGAGTGACACAACAGTTTTCCTATCATCCTCTGAGCACAACCTGTCACTGAAAGTACGCATGCACTCGTGCATCCACACCTGTACTATGTTGAGAACCGATGCTGGAGGAAAGCCTGGTTGTGAAACCTCCTTGTTCTCCTTGTTTGAGATTACAGACCTCCATAGGTACATCCCCTGAAACACCTTCTGAAGATCACGATGGGAAAATATGAAATGAGGCCTCTGCACAGAGGGCTGAAATCTGTCACTTACTGCATGATACAGCTCATTAGTAGCAGTGACGATGGAAGATGACATATCCTCACCAATGTGCCTATTAAGTGGCATTTCACTGAGCCAGATTTTTAGCCAGGGAGAATAGATAGACATTAAAATGTCTGGGGATACGCCATCAAGCACAAAGATAGAAAACAGGCGTGAGAGCCGTGGGGATATAACACCGCTGTGGGAATGATCCAATCCGGATATACAGCATGCAGCCAGGTAGCTGATAGTTCCCGACTGTAACAACTCGGAGCTGTAGGTGTCAAATGTTAGAATCTCTCCTTTTGAAATACTCTGTCTTAGTGTCTCTAGAGCCATTGCAGACGTTCCAAAGACGTCTATGAACAAAAATGACAGGCATAATGACAACATAAAGATTCACACTGTACTAAATCTGGTTCAAACTGAATCACATAAATTCTGTTATAAATTTTGTTACTCACCACAGGGGGCTTCATGTAAATCATCAACAAACAAAAACAAGCGTGGCTGGTTTGCCATGAAGCCAGTAGTCTCTTTACAGTTCTTCTGGCATCTGATGCTTTTCAGTATAGTGTGCAAGTCTCTGGAGCTCAGAAGTGGACTGGCTGGTAGGTTAATGTGTGGCTTGTCAAAAGTCAGCACAGTTTGGCACAGTGTGGTTTTTCCAGAGCCAGGCTCTCCAGAAACCAAAACTGGCTGCTTTGCCTCCAACATGAGGTTCAGGAGATATGTGTATTTCCTGTACTATGAAAAACATTTGAGACACCTGTTAATATTCAGAAGCAGCGACAAATACTGTATGTATTCTAAGTATAGTAGGTGCAATGTTAAGTACAAACCATTGGAATGACAGAGCCTGTCGACAGCGTATTCGTGGGGCACATCTTAGTGTCGATACTAAAGAAGTGTTCATACACACTGACTTCATCAGGGACCACAATTTTGTATCTGCAAGTTAGGAGCACTTGGCGGGCTAATAAATCAAACTGTGGCCAGTGGCTAAATAAAAACAGAAATATATGAAGAACACTGGTTACAGAGAGAAATATCGACAGGCGGTAGTAGAACTCAGTATGTGTAAATATATAATGTGTGACCAAGTAAAAAAGTTTAATAAAAAAAAATCTTACCGAGAATGAAGGCGACCACCAAATCCCCAGATATAAGCCAAGAGAAAAATGTTTCTGCTGAGCTGCTCCTGCTTACTTTGGGCACCTGTGGCTGCTGGAGGCATATCTGGTAGAGGGGAAGGACATGACGTTTTTGTAAGGGTAACATAATTATGCCATGCTTACGGGGTTTTACATTTGTTACAAGTTATTTTACCTGTTGTGTCGATATGTGCCACTGACTCAGGTTTTTCTACTTCCTTTCCAAAATGTTGTAGGAGGGCATGCAGGATCCTGACAAATGACATGACTTCTTGCAGTCCGTGTGTGGGGGCTTTGCAAGATTTTCTTTCAGTGTGGATTGCAGAGGTTAAACTCCTTTGCCCAAGCAAATGAAGGGTGCTAGAGAAAAGATCTTCAGCCAAGTGATTCCACATTTTCACAATTCTGTGATCTAGTTTGTATTTAAAGGAGAGAGCATCTATTTCACTCTTCCACACAGACTTCCACAGATCATCTCCCGTGACATAAACAAGGCTGCAGCGGGTCACTGCAGAGGGGCTTGCATTGCATAGGTCAGTGACTTCCATAAGCAGCTTTAGTTTTGACTGAGACAACAATGTCTCACCTGACGACAGACCCAGAAAGGCATCCTGAGAACTGCACAGTGTGGTTAGGTAATCTAACCAGCCGGGCTGCCCCACAGGCTCCCCATCCATTACCAGCCACTTCACTACTACTGTCTCACCAGTTTTCTTCTCATTGTTACAGAGTTTAAAGCTTGCATGCTCACGCCTTCCTGCATCTCGCAGCACCTTTGCCAGAGCTCCATCTATCCATCCTCTCTTTTCACACAAGCAGCCAAATATCTCATCATGGGACATAGCGTTAGGAAATAAGACTAAAGTTTCAACAAAGCTCCAGTTTGAAAGAGATATCTTTTGATCTGCCTGGGGAGAGCCTGCATCAATCGTATTGTCCTTGTCAAAAACCAACTCCACTGTCTTAGTAGCCAGGCTATTCAGTGCTCCAGTCAGAGCAGTGTAACAGGTGCTCTTTCCGCTCCCGGGGGGCCCTATAAGCAAAACTGCCTGAGACAATTTCATGGTCTGGTAGAGTGTAAGAGCATTGCAAATGATGTCTGTGTCACAACAGAAGTGTTTTTGTTGTATTTCTTCTCTAAGTGCATCTTCAAGTTGGTTCTTTTCAGCTTCTTCAATAAATTGTTGGACAAGCGGAAACTGGCATGCTATAGGAAAAACGTCTTTGAAAAGCATGTAGAACTGTGAGGTGGCCTTCTTCTCGGGCAGCAGTACAGAAAGAATGGCTCTGACAATCGCTTCCTCTTCCATTAAACTTTGTACAACCATCAAATAACAACGGTGTGACTTTGGAGGCTTTTCAGTTTTCCTTCCGTCCTCCTCAAAAGGTTTGATAGGCTCATTTTGTGATGACATAAGATCAGTGTCGAGTGAATCTTTGGACTTTGAATTTTCTCGATCCCTTACAACCTGCTGCAAATGTCTTTCAGAAGCTGAGATGATCTTTTGCAGGATAACAAGAAAGCAGCTGTCATTGTCAGAGAAAAGATCAGGTAGACAATGGGACTCTTGAGCCAGGCTAATGAGGGACACCAGACGTTGACTTAACGACATGGCGTCTGAAAAACCAATGGAAGTTAGCATTACTTCTGCAATTATTCTGTAATCTGGACGTGTTAATGCGACAGATCTTGTAGCAAATCGCAGACTTTCAGGAACTCTAGATATATTTTCTTTTGATGAGATGGCAACACATCCATAGCTGAGACTGGCAGAAATGTGTTTTCCTGCAAGTGTCATGTGACATTCTGACTCAGCAGCATTTGTGAATCCCGCGACTCCATCTGAAATTTTCATCTCTGTCTCACAATTTAGCCTCTCCTTTTTATCTCTTCTTAACATGTTGAAGGACTGGTGTATCTCAACTAGATGCTGTCCTAGTATCGACAGATCACTGTGTGTTAGCAAGTCCACAGAGTTCAACACAAGCCATGCCCCTGCCTGAAGCGCCCCAACCAACATCCGCTGAATAACACGAGGCATCATGCTTGGATAACACTGTTTTAGGACAACCTGTCGCCCCAGCGCTTTTCCTAACTGGATCACAGTATTTTTCTTTCCAGACATGGAAGGGCCACCCACAGAACAACATCTGTAGGTTGTCAGAGCAATAAGAATCCCTAGTATTGCCCGGTCTGTGCAAGGTGTATGCACCATCTCCCACTCTCCTGGGCCAGAGTATTCAAAGCTGTACTGGACTTGATGGCCCAAAATATCCACAAAACATGCTGGATCATTATAATCCTCTGAGTTAATATAATATTTCATACAACTCAGCCATTCAAAAGATGACTCCCGCGCACACGGAACATCCATGAGTCGATGTAGTTGCTCTGCATGATTCATTGTAAGCTGCAGTAAAGCTCGCAGACACATCATTGTGTACTTGGAAACTTGAGTTCCAGTTTTAGATCCTGTGACTCCGTCTCTTATATAATGGCTAAGGTCTTTCAGCTTTGCGGCGATATGTGCCTTTATGGTGCTGAACTTCACTGAGCTCGATTCTTGGAAAGCTTGTAGAGCAACACTGCACCACATTGCCTTCTCCACCACCAGAAGGCACTCAAGAGGATATTCAGAAAGCAGGCCCAGCACAGCTACCGCACTGGGGAGCTGGTTGTCTCTAGCATTTGTGTCACTTGCTAAATTTTGACTGGATGGTTCGAGCTGTTTTCTCACAACAGCACACTGTGTCAGAAGCTGTACCATGGTCAACTTTAATTTTTTGTCAAAGTTACAAAACCACTTCAAAGCGTCTGCATTTGGTTCTAAAGGAGACTGAAAGGCAACGTGTTCTTGGAAGCTGCCAAAAATACCCAGCACCTTCATCTGCCTTTGGCACTCAGATATAGAATCACCATCTCTTTGTATTTCACAGTCAACTTCAAGCAAATGAACCCCTTTAAAGCTTTTTTGAACAAAGGGTTGAAATTCAAAAGGTGTTGGGTCCAAAGAGAGTATCTGCATCACTTCCCCTTCACTCAAAAACCAGAATCTGGGACACTCTTCACAGAGGTCATCAAGAAGATCTGACATTTGTTTTGAAATGACTTCCATTGCAGACAAACCATTAAGAAGAACCTGGCAAAGGCTATCACCACGAAATCTGTCATTTGTTTCAGTGGAAACTAAGTTCAACACACGGGGTTCGTTTGATATAGAGGCCATCATTTCCTCGAATGTCTCATCAACTGGTTGAAAATGCTTCAGCTATAAAAAAAGATTAAAAAAAAGATTAAAAAAAACATCATTAATCAAACACACTGACTTCACATTCATGACAGCTTAAGGCACAAGAACCTACCAGGTCCATTCTTTGAGTACGGAAAAATGTCCCACCAAGCACGTTGGTTAAGAAGGCCCACATTTGCTGATATCTTTCAAGTAAAGCAAGCAGCTTCTCTACAAATATTTGAAGGGAAAATAATTCTTACAAGTCTGTTTGAACTTTTTATGGACATTAAGATAAATTCTCTCTTAGTCTTTCAATTTTTAAAGATAAAATTAGTTGCCGCTTTACCAAGTTCTTGTAGTGTTTGAATCCAGTCCTCCAGCGGCAGCCTGAACTCAACACTGTATGGGGACTTTAACATTGTGGACAGCATCATCAAACTGGTCTCAATCTCAGCAAAGTGTACTCCCAGATCTGTGTGAGGAAACACAAAGCAAATGTAAGCAACATGTAAGCTGAATATACCAAATACACATTTCCTCCAAGCAGAGCAGCTAGAAGGTAATTCAAAAATAATGCTTGCAGTGACTTGAGCCTCACCTATAGTAAATCTAGGATCACTGGGGTGTTTCCTGTCAGTTAGCACATTGAGAAGGGCGCCTTCTGTGGTCTTCCCAGTGTGTTTGCACCGTGTTTCCACGCAAAGGGGAGCAAATACATCCAACTGAAAGAGTTTGCCTTCCCATCTGTGACAAAGCTTTTGGAAAGTTTGCTTCATGTCACACTCCCTTTGTGCACATCTGCAAATCTGACAAAATAAAAACACAGCGTCTTATGTCAGATTCGTATTGCGTGTTTTCAAAAGCAACTATTTCAGCAGACTGTTTGCCTGTTATTTCCCTTTAGCAGAACTGCCAAAGCTGCTCTAGTTAAAACCTCTCTCGTGTTCTACCTTGTCAATCAGATTCTGATGACTTTCAAGTTGTTGAGACATGAGATCAGCAACAGTCACATTCTTCTCTGATTTATATTTTAGGCCCAGGTCTGCACAAGAGAACATATATTTCAGTTCTATTACATTTACTGTGATTTTAGAAGTATGGAAGTGCTATAGCATAGGCACACTCTCTGACCTTCTAAAATGGCTCTCCAGTGTTTTCCTTTCAGTGTGGGGCTCTGTAGCTTGGCCAGGACTAAAAGCTGATGGCTTATGTTTTCCAGAGATCCTAAAATCTCCTGCAGCACTGCATCACTGGCAGGTATGGTGGTTGTTAAAGATTGAGCCTGCTCCTTCCACTCTGTAATTTTATCCTGGGCTTCAGAGACCACAACCTGACAGAAAAATGCATGTGTTATTTGTCTGTTGGCAATATTTATACCTCAGGGTTTGCTAGAATAACAAAACATTATTTATACATCTATACAGTTTAAATATCAGTAGATATAATTTATATAAGTACAATGCTTTATTTAATGACCTATTATAAAAACAGAAAAACATGTCTTTTAGAAATGTGGCACCACACTGGAATTTTTTAATTAATTAAGAAATTAATCAAGCATAAAATTCAACCACTAATTCTTCTGTTCAGGAATGCTAGCAAATAAGCGTAATTTGGCGTCTTGATCAAAAATAATAATTTGATTTACTATTTTTTACAGTTTTTTTGTAAAACAGCAGATTAAAAAATTCACATATAACATTAATTCTATTTTAGCAGTAAAAGTATCATTTTGATTAATGGGCTTGCACATACTGGTGGATTAACCAGTACAGAAGCATCAAAAATGATTTTAACCATTATGTACATTTAGCATAGCCTTACATGACTGTATCATGGGGTAACCTGTGATTGACATACCCCGTTGCAATTTTTTTGTACAAAGAAATAAATATGTCATCTCATTAACATGAGAGGCGGTTCTTGACTCTGAATATGTTTAACAGAGAAAAGGGTTGATTTCATGTTACCTCACTAAAAACCATTGGCTTCCATTCTTCCAGCCATGTAGTATAGACTGCTATCAGTTCCCACAAGTCTTTGCGGGCTATGACCTTCTGAACATCTGTGGTCAATACGGTGAGATCTATTGTATGTTCTAATAGGAAGCAGAATAGAGAGAATAAACATGCTATTTGTAAGCACCTGTTTGTTTAATCTTCACCAAACTAAACCTTTCAATCCTTCAAATATTCAAAATACAGCATCATCTCACCTCCCATCTGTTGACTGCTCCTACTAAGCAGGTCCAGCTTTGCACTGAGAGTGTTTACATGCATGCACATGTAGTTCAGTTTGGACATCATCTCTTTGGCATTTTGGCAAGGATCAAGGAAGGGTCCAGATGTAGAGTCAGAGACGATATTTTTAAGGTCACAGAACAGAAATGAGAACATCATGTCCACTGCTTTAGCCATTGAAGGATGATGGCGGCAAACAAGGTCGTCTGCTTCCTTCAACAGGGGAATAAAGCAATTCCACAAGTTCAGCATCTAAATATAAAACACAAACAGAAGCACGAGGCGTTACCTGAGCACACTCACATCCCATGTAAAGCCATGATACGCTTAATATTGTGGTTATTTATAGCGTATTTGCCATTTCTTTGCATTTGCTTTCAGACCTTTTCTTCCACAGTCAGCTCCGCCTCTGTCATATTCCTATAGTTCATGCAAATCGTGTTTTGAAGAGACTGAATGTACTCCAAATGTTTCTGTTTGTCAGGCAAGACCTTCACAAATTCCCTCACCTGTCAAAGGAAAAAATTTGATTTATAATTTTGCTTAGATTGCTTAGAATTTAACTACAGACAGACAGACAGACAGACAGACAGACAGACAGACAGACAGACAGACAGACAGACAGACAGACAGACAGACAGACAGACAGACAGACAGACAGATAGATAGATAGATAGATAGATAGATAGATAGATAGATAGATAGATAGATAGATAGATAGATAGATAGATAGATAGATAGATAGATAGATAGATAGATAGATAGATAGATCGATCGAGTAGTGAAGACTAGGGTTCTTCACTACTGTGTCTTCAAACAACAGCATGTACATCTTAATGCAGTAAGCATCACCTGGATAAAGGAATCTAAATTCAGAACACATTTACCCTTACAAAGCAGTCTTTGATGTAAATAATTTAGCTGAAGTCAAGAGACAAGACAAGAGGTGCCTCCAGAGGATGTGAATGTTCTGACCACCCTCCTTCTTTGGGTACACCACAAAAAAGTAGCCTAAAGTCTTTACCAAGGACTTTTTTTTCTCCTCACTTAAAAGACTATCTATCTGTTTTTCCTATATTTTATCACATTCTACACTTTTTTGCAAATAAGTAATTTTAAAAAGTTTCTGTACCCTAAGAGCATATTTTGAGAAGTCACGCAAGTCTTGAGGTGCTGTCTTGAGTTCAGCAGTAGCTCCCTCCAAATATGATATGAGGCTCTCTGACTCCTTCCTTATCTGCTCAACTAGTTGCTCTTGCACTTCCTCTTCGATGAACCTCAGCCGTTGCCCTGGAGAAACACAGGGAGAGATGAGGAGGGCATTTATTATGAAGAACAAAGTGTAAGTAATGAATTTATCTACCAAGGGCCAGGACATTAAAGCACTTCACGATTTTAAAAAGTCACTGAACAATTAGTTCCTCCTTCTTGAAGCTATGCTGAATTGACCAAAGAAAGGTCCTTGTATATGAAAGTATTTGAATCTTCAAGCTATACTCAAGATACAATTTCCATTTCATTCGATAAAGACATACCTAGAGCTTCCTTTGTGTGGGTGCAGTGGATGACGAACAGCTGATTGGAGGAAGAAAATGACGAGTCAGCTGCACTGATTCTTTCAGCCCAGTTGCGCACCTTCCTAATGTTCTCCTCGTACACTGACGCAGGCCGACCCCTCATGGATTCCAATGAGGCTCGACTCCACTGACAAGTAAACAAATGGATCTGTACCATCCATGCGTAGCTCTCATACAGCTGTTGGATCTCTAGTTCGGCTTCCTGTCCAGAGAAAAACAAAACACCTGTATAAATCTGATTGTTTGATTAATGCATTTAATACGGCTATTACTGGACTTGAAAGTGACAGTCTTGCCTGCATGATCTCAGACTGCTCCTTCTCAACTTCTTTTGTGATGTCATTGATGCTGATGTGCCACTCTAGCTGGCTTTTGGAGAGAGGAGAGTAGCAGCCATGCACCATGTTGCCTTGCACCACTGGAAAAGCAACTTTAGGCAGTGTCTGCCAGCAAGCTGACATGTCTCTCAGAATCTGACTAGTGTTCCCATCAGTGTTTTTGTCCACTGGGAATGAAAAAAAGAAAAAAAAAATCTGTGACACATTTAGACCAGGCCCAGGCACACTTTCACATCAGTACTGAGGGTTTACATCAGAGGGAGCTCATATAAAGGAAACAGGAGCCGTAACACTCCAATACAAAAGGTCATACCTGTATTTACAGAAGGGTTAATACAGCTGAAGTCATGGTCTAAATCCTGAGCAGAGATTAGCACATCTTTGCTGACCTCTAGGAAAAACCCGCAGTCATCACATTTCTACAAGTAATGAAAGCTGATGTGAGACAAACTCATGGCTGCTGCTTGACTAAACATAAAGAAAACACTGATGTGATTATACTATGCATAATTGTTTGATGTGAAGTAAATACAAGCAGACAGTCTCAAAGGCCAAATTTAAATCAGGCTTATTCACAGAACATAGAGTGAGAGAAACAATTATTTGACCCCCTGCTGACATTGAAGTTTGCTTATTCACAAAGAAATGAACAGTATGTAATTTTTATGGTAGTTTTATTTTAATGGAGAGAGACAGAATATCAACCTCAAAAAAATCCAGAAAAAAACAAATTCTATAAATGTTAAAATAATCTGTATGTTATTGAGCTAAATAACTATTTTCTGCCTTAAAACGCAGCCCTCATGGCACAAAGATTACAACCAATCAAAGCACACCACTTACATTCCTGTCATGGTCCTGCAGTCCTCCTGTGCTGGCTCATTCATTTCGTCTTGCTCGTCTCTGCAATTTCTATCTCTCCTTTCTCTGTGTGTGAGTGCATGTGTGTGTCTGTGTGAATGACTAACCACACCTTGTGTTTCAGTGGCAAGATTCTCCCCTGCTGCCTGCCCTCCAGGTCAGCGCAACTGAGTTGATTAATTCCCATGTTGGTAATCGTCTGATCAGTATTGATCAGCAGCCTTCATTTGTCGCCTGATCATTAGACTGGAAACAGAGAAGTTGGCTCACCTGCTCGTTCTTCTCTGCGTAATTTCAGAGTGAGTTACTGCGAGAGACAGAATTCCTGTGGAGAAATATTCTGCGGAGCTTAGGAATCAGTAACTGGAAATCCTTCTGTTGTCACATTCTGTTGTTGTCTCACTTTAATTCCACCGAGTCTGCATCTTGAATCTAATCAGTCCATTAGTTATGACAAATCCAACTGCATAGAACGGATTGGGCTATGCAATGTAAGATCTTGATTGAGAACCTCTTTTCTGCAGTCAAAACACTGAAGATGGGTCATTTCAACATAACAATGACTCGAAAACATACCACCAAGGCAACACTGAAGTGGCTAGCAAAAAGTACATTAAGATGATGGAGGGGCCTTGCCAGTCTCCAGACCCAATTTTGTAGAAAATCTGTTGGAGGAGCTGAATATTTGAGTTACCAAGCAGGTTTAAAAACCTAGAGGATTTAAAGAGTTTCTAAAATGAGGATAGGGCCAAAAGCCCTCCTGGTGACCAAGTAGAAGAAACGTGTTATCGTTGTTCTTCTTCACCAAGTACTGAGTTGCGTTTTAAGTGAGGATCGAATGTTTATTTTATTCAGTGACATGCAAATCAATTTATAACTTTTCTGTAATGTTTTTTGTCTCGATTTTGTATTAATATTCTGTCTCTCTCCATTAAAATGAAACAACCATAAAAATTAGAAACTGTTCATTTCTTTGGAAGTGACCAAACTTACAAATTCAGCAGAGCATCCAATAATTATTTCCCCTCTGTACATGATGATTGTCCTGCAGAAATGAAACTGCTCCTGTGTTTCCATCTGCTGAAACGTGTAAATTACCTGAATAATAGAGTCGCCTACAGTGAGAAGTGCTTGGCTCACTGCTTCTTTGAACAGATGTATTGGGGGCTCCACTGTCAGCTGATTATCAGCACTGAAACGCAGCTCGGTGTGGAAGAGAGAGCGCTTTGGCAGTTCCTTGCTCTAACGAATGACAATATACATAAAGTTAATTTCATTAAATATAACTTCATTGTCATTTTACTTCATCTAACACATCATCTATTACTTCATGCAGCAGTGGTGCTCCACAGTTATTGTAGGTTTATATCAGTAATTCTTCTGGTTATTGTTTGAGAACAGTAAACAATAAAAATACTGGGTGAAAGAGAAAAATAAAGACTTGTACAGCTAAAATCAAAATTTTTTCCAACCACAAACAGTTAATAAGAGTTCATTTTCAACCTTTAAAAGATCGAGAAATGAAATAGCATCTTCTAGTATGACTGTCACGAGACTCTGCACAATCATCTGATGCACAAGAGCTGCAAAATTTCCCAATTTCTTCAAGGTGCTTTCAGACTGGGCCAACTCTTTCTTCAGCTTGCGCTGATGAGCCATGAGCAAATGTATGGGTTGTTGGAAGCTCTTTGGATCGTTAGCAAGTTTTAAGTGTAGCTGCAGCTCCTGGTGTTTCTTATAGCTGTCTTCTTTCACCTGAGGATATAAAATTGTCTTTAGAGATCATTTGATTAAAAAAAAAGGCTTTGTTGTCTCTTATGATGAAACCATAAAAGTTGACTGTGGTGTAGTACCATATTTAGGGTGAGAGTGTGATACTGTGATAACTTCTCCAATATCTGCAGACACTCCTGATTCTTGCTTATCAGTATGTTCTTGAATTCCGTCAATGTGTGGCATTCACAGACATCCAGAGGCATCCAGTGTGTCTCTTTTAGTTCTTCAATTACTCTGTCAAAGATATTTTATTGTTGAAAATCTGAACCTGTCTCAAAGTTGAAAACTTTAGACTGTTGCTGGCTTTAACTCACCCTTTTAATAGATGCAGGGCATTCCTGAACTGAGGTACAGCTATGAGCAGCATGTCCTCCAGATTCTTTCTCCGGCGCTGAAAAATTCTCTTGCGCGTGTTTTGATGCCACCTGGGGAAAAAAACATACAATTCAAAGGAAACAATAAATGTAAAGAAAAAAGGAAATAGTTTATACACTGAGTTATGCAAAAAGTATAACATTAACATTTATTACCAGAAAAAAGCTTTCTGCAGTCTAAAGTCCCTGAAAAATGCAATTTTCTGCAAATCTGTCCACAGCACATACTGTCTATACCACTCTGCCAGACTGACAGTTCCACCAATACCCGTCTGGGTAACATGCAGGACAGTTTTAGAGGTGAAGACATAGTGCTCAGGACCAGCTTCACTGGGATGGACAACTCGCAGGTCATAGGGTCTAAAAACAAAGAGGACATGCGTCAGTGGATTTATGGTTTGACAAGGGAAGATTTACCAAACCATGAAACTCAACTCAAGTGTTAAATAATCTTTCTCATCTTTACCTGTAAGCATCCCCATCTACTGTTTTGAGGTAATAAATCTCATATTCTCCCAGGTCTCTTTTCTGAACCAAAATTTGAACAACTTCTGCGCCAGTGAGGGGAGATATACTTGGTTTGGTAGCCCTCCCATGTTTCAAGGTTGCTATCTTTTTATACTTGCAAGTTTTGGCTGTTTTTGATTCACCTTTTTCCTGAATACTGAAAAAATGAAACACAAGAAATTCATTTAGGAGTTTCTCTCATTTACAGGGAGTGTGACAACAATTTTATTTGTTGATGCTATAAATTATAACTATCTTTAACATAAATGCTATCTGGAATGACACTTACACCCAACAAATACTGCACTGAAAAGTATCACAAAAGCCAAAGTCAAATTATCTGTAAGTATTATTATGTACCTCTCTGTTGTCGACTGAGTAATTCTAACAGGGATTTCTGTCCCTAGTGTTGAAGCCATTAATTGAGGTCCTTCTTTCCATTTTGTGTTGCCTATGGCTATCCCAGGTCCTACTTTAGCAATAATATGAGGCAAGTCTGCCAATGACAAATGTCCATCAGAGTGGACATTTTTGAGGAGAGAGGAACAACTGAACAGGGGCTTGGCTGCAGAAGCTGATAAGACACGAAACGGCTCCGGGCACAGAGGTGGTAAAGTCACTTTAGGAGAGTGAGTCTTTTTCTTCGCCTTGTGACCAGGCCTAGCAACATCTTTACCACGGCTCTGAGACGATCCATCACGGGATCTTTCCTGTGAGGCGGCATCAAACATGCTGATCTCCAGGGAATACCATCAGCAGCTCTTGTGTGACTTACTCTGGAATTTCTGAGGAGAGGGACAAATAGGTAAATTTAGCCTGAATCACAAACTATACTGGCACAATATATAAACCCTGCATTTTTAACTAAGCTTTAAAACTGTAGACAGATGTACTGCATATGAAATTGTATGCCGATTGTAAGCAGCAAACACAATTTAAGGTAGTGAATAGCTTTAAAGTACTACTACTTATACTTCTTTCTAGTTAAACCAGTTCCACGTTCACACAGATGTTCATTCAAAGCTTTTCATTGAATAAATAAAAAAGAATGCTGCACACAATAGCAGGGGAATGATTGAGACGACACTACAATACGTTTAAAAAGTCGGACTTTCTAATAAAATTGAGGAAGTCTCTCAAATTTAAATCGAGTAAAATTACTGTCTAGTGCAAGTACATCCAACACAAACAAACACAAACAAAGAGACGCTTGGCTACAGTATATATTTCGCTGCCTTAGTCAGATCGTGCAGTTGAAAATGACATTTTATCCTTTTAAATAAGCATAAGGAGACGAGCCTCAAATAAGCTAGCAAGTTGCTAAACTTGTTATAAAAAGTTAACACATACTTTAGTAGTCCTTACCCAAGTTTAACGGACTTACAGTGAAGCTCAGCGTTTACACAACTAGAAAGCAGCGGGCGTTAGCTCCGAAGCTCAAAAAACGACTTTTAATAAACCAAATATTAAACTAAGAACTAACAAATACTTCGGCGAGTCTTACCTGTGAAGTTGTTACTACGAAGGCTCGTTGCCACGGTAACGTCCAGACGCTTACGCCGGTCTGCAGAGTTAGTGGGTCTGATTGAGAAAGTCAAGCACGCCGAGTTTAAAGTGTTCGTGGTGACCTTTAACCTCGCTGCTTTTCGGAATAATAACGTAGCAGCACGAAACAAAGTCAGACATTTTTTGGATGTTTTTAGGTGGCAGAGCGCTTATTAAGTGTCTTATAAAAGTTATATTTAATGTAATATAATCAATGTTATAAACAGCATCTTTTCATACTCAGAAAATAGGCCTAAACCCCAATCTCTAATAGATATTTTTATTATAATTGGGAAAATAAAATCACAGGTGGAATATAGCGTATTTTAAATATTACTGATGACTTCACTTTTCCACCACATGGCAAGAAGTTTTTTTTTTTCCTCTCCTATTAGATGTCAAATTGCCTGCTCAGGGAACCTTTAGGGAACATTCCCTGAAGGCTCCCTTGTTTGCTGGGTCATCTGTAACAGAAATTCATCCTTTAAAAATCCAATCTGGACAATGCAACAGACAAAAACGTACTCATCAAGAAGTCCAGTATGACCATGTCTATGAAGTCCACCAGTCGTGTGCCCTTGTCGTATGGCGGTGTCTTTTTCACCATGGAGCAGTACTCGGGTTCTGTCTCCCACCTGAAAACCACGTTCTTTGTAAGATAAAATAGAGCAGGAACATCCAGCTTTTTATTAGCATTCAAATGAGCCACAGCTCATTATTCAAATGGATTGAATGATCACCTCCAGCAGAAAACTAAATCATGTTAACTATAACCCATGATGTACAGCGTAATTAATCAAAGTTTTATGAGTTTCTGTTAAAGAAATGAACATTAAGTTCACAGCCTACTTATACAGAAGGGTCAAGTGTAGGAAATATGAGGACAGCTATCTGGGAACTGCAGGTAGTTTCTAAATGTAGGATTTCTATTCTGTTTTTACAGGATACATAAGACTAAACAGCAGTTAGATATTTGTGAGGAACATATACTTTAGGTAAGTAAACCTACAGGTTAGCAGTTCTGTTTCAGGAGACAGTATGACAAGAACAGCAGACTACATGGGGTGGGAGCTTAGAAGATGCTGGGATACTAAATCCTGCATCACTTGGTAAACATTGCAGTAATGGGGTATGATTGTAGCTCAGCTGCAGGGGGAGAGGTGGAGCAGAGGTTTCAGGGGGCAGTGCCAGGAGAGGCTGGCTGGCACAGCTGTTTCACAGCCTCTGATTTTGCCTCTCTTATTTATGCAGTAGTGGTGGGACCGGAGGGTGGGAAGATGAGTATGAAGAGCAGCTGGCAAAGAAGCAGTCCAGAGATCAGTGTGCAGTTGTGCGTGTTGGCCAGGAGGTGCTAAAAGCACGCTATGATATGTATTGTGAATTTTACAAACCGAATACAAATAGTTACTCATGGGCTTCTCGTATTTTTCAACGACTTTGATTGACGAATAAACCAAATGAATGCAAATAGTCAGCAATCAGCCAACAAACCATCACCAGCTTCACGCACACAGCAACATCTCGCCTGTCAAATTAACACTAGAGAGTGTCTATATGTGTCCACTCATCTGAGTGTTAAATGAACACTTTTGACAGTGTTATATTTTTAAAAGTAACCTAGTCAGTTCTGAAGATTTACAATGGCTAACACCGAGCAGTGCTAAATTTTCTAACACTGGAATATTTCTAACATTTTGAGTTATTTTCCAGTGTTAGAAAATCAGCACTGCTCAGTGTTAGTATAGTACTAGTGTTAATTTAACACTGGAGATTTTGCTGTGCACGGATCAGGCAGGAATGAAATCACCAAGGAAACAGGATTTGGTTCACGAGCTAATATCCAGCCTGCCACGGGGAACTGCAGTAGTTATGAAGCACAAGTGTTGACACTTTAATGCTGACTCTTTGCATATCTTTGATTTATTTGCCAGTTATGACAGTTAGAGTTATGACATGTTATGTTTGCTATTTGCTAAACCATAGAAACAAAACAAATTAGGTGGCAAAGTGTATCAAATTTATGCCACTGCTAAAACTTTTGTAAACACTATATTAATAACTTTGTACTGATATAGTGCAGGGTGTAAGCTTTCCTTTATCACTGAGCACATTTGTTTTCTGTATGGCTGGACAGCCCAGGGCGTCCACTAACTTTGCCAGCTTGCTTCGGCTGTAGGAACGTCTCCACGGAGATCTCCAGGTCTTGCGCCTTGCCAGGGAGAGATCTGGTAGCATGACAGCCAAGGAGCCCTCCAGGTCCCTGGGGCGGCCACACACAGCGTGCTCTGTTGAGCAGTAGTAGGAGCACTGGCCGTAGAAGCACTCATTTCCCACTAGGGGGAGCCAGAGGTGCACAGAGAAGGAGAAAAGCAAGCAAGTGAACAGGAAAAAATGACAGAAAAATGTTTTTGGTGATGTGAAAATATGAAAAATAAAATGAATTTATAATAGGTTGACATATGAGGGCGTTTAAAGCCTGCTGAATTAATAAAGGGTGTACTGGAGTGTTACCAGGGGAGGCAAAAAAGGTTCGTGCCAGCTTGCGGTCAGTAGTGACGTCTTTGATCTCCTTGACCACATCCACCAGCCTCCCAGCCACAGGGGGGATTCTCCTGTAACCCAAAATCCTGCAGAGAGTGTGAAACAAAGTGTGAGATGAGGACAGGATTAAGTGCAGAGATAAAAGACCCCCAAAAAAAGGCTGAGAAGAGAAGAGATAAGAAACTATAATAGTGTTACATAACTTGCATTTTTTTTATGTGGCTATTTTGTCCACCGTTTCCCTTGTGGTGCTCTCTGTAATAGTGTGTTGCTGTGCCCTTTTGGATAAGAGAAATTTGACTTGATACCTATCCAGATGAAAAGCTGCAATTTCTGCATTGTGCCGCTCAAAGTCAGAGAAATAGTACAGGTTGTAGTTGGTTTCTTCATCTCTCTCCTGCCTGTCAGTAAAGATAAAAATGCACATCAGAAAGAGTCTATTTATTGACTCACTAGATTTGAACAAGTGCACACAGACAGTAGGAGTTTGAGACACATTTTTTCTACTATTCACTCAAACAATACAGCTGTCTGACGACTTAGACATCCATGTTTCCCATCTCCACTTATTGTTCTTGTTTCAAGAGGCCATAAAGGAGTCTTATACACACTGAGAGCTATGATGACTGTGTAGGGGTTTGCCATTAGCAGCTTACTTCATGGGCTTGAACATGGCTTGTCCATAGCTGGGAAATGACATCACCAGCTTCAACTGAGTACCCCCAGATTTCTGCACTGGAATACAATACAGAGGGTGTTACCATAGCAACAAAGTGCATACACACTCACAAACACACAAATAATACGCCACGCTGTGACAATACACTGGCCATTGTTCAGGAAAAAGCACATACACACATGCACGCGCACAGACACACACACACACACACACACACACACACACACACACACACACACACACACACACACACACACACACACAAATTGTGATAGCAGAGACTTTATTTCCTAGAAAGACTTTGGAAAAAGAGCAAATGTGTGTCATCATGCAAATAGCACATTTCTATCAATCTGAGGATAAACACCTAAATGTCCACACAATGTGTTTCTCACACATATTGGCACTTCACAAAGACAATGTATATCTACCACAAACAGCATTATAAGGTCATGTGTCTATGCAGTGCTGTAAAAACCTAAGCACACTATTACTGCTTCCACAGTCAAGAGGGTAAGTAGCAGCCAGGCACTGATAATTAAATGCACAGCATTAATGCGACCGCCTCTGTTAAAGCAGAAGTTTTCAGGTGTGTGTTAACACAATCGTCTCAGGAATGGACGTCCCAGAAAATTCAACCCAGGTCAGGTGAGACCCTGTAATGCTCAGAAAACTGCAAAAAACCCAAGAGCTACATCTCAGACTCTACAAGCCTCAGTTAGCAGGTTGAATGTTACAGTTCGGAGCACCAGATCATTGTGTTGATCGCGAACTAACAATATATAACAATTATTTTAGGGTCAAATGTGTGTTCTGACAACTAAAACTGGGTCACGCAACAGGATCTTGATCCCAAGCACAGCAGCAAATCTAGAACAGAGTGACTGAAAAAGAGGTGCTGCGATGACCCAGTCAATGTGCAGGCCTTCACCTGACTGACTAAATTCAGTTATTCAAGTTATTGCTGCTAAAGGTGGTTCTACAAGCTACTGAATCATTCTTAGTTTTTCACAAGACTGCATTTTATAGAAACAGACAGGCAACTTGTCCAGGAAGTCGCCTGACTCTCACCGTGTGACAACTGGGAGAGGCTCCATCACCCACAACCCTAAACTGGATAAATGGAAGAAAATGGCTGGATGGATGGATGGATGGATGGATAAAATCGTATTCTCATTTTTCCACAGTTAATGTAGTAACATTTTAACAGGAACATCTGTCCTTTACTCACATTTTTTCTGGAAGGCTACTCTGGAAAAACTTTATAAAGCAATCCTAAGAACTTTGAAAAATCTAAATTTAAGTGATCCTGAACTGAATTTACAAACGTACTTTTCACAGTTATGCTTGCAACTGTGCTACGATACAAACAACTGTAGTTTTAGTGAATCTCTGTGAATCTCTACAATTATTTACACACATGGAGCGTGCGGCCTTGTGCTTTTCAACAACGGTTTCTTTTAACAAGGTTGTATGAAGTTTCATTCACATGCCATGCCAAACAAGGTAACAAAAAACCCATCTCAGCCTGTGTTTATGGCCTTGCTTGTTCAGCCAAGGCTATATTGTCTTTCAAAGCTGAAATAACATTTTGTTCCTACTACAAATTAATTGCTGAATCCAATCAGTGAAACACATCTAACGTCAACACTCAGAGTTTTTCTACCTGCGCTATATCTGTTTGGTATCACCTCTAGCTTTGGGTGGGTAATGTTAGGAAATGTTAGAGAGATATTGCTGCTGAATGTACTGGAGCAGCTCTGATAATATAGTTTTCTTGGAGATGGTCAAGACTGCACTTCACTATCTTTGAGCACCGTTGAATATGTTAACATGTTAGTATTACAATATATTTTGCCATGTACTGCACGTGTGATTCAGTTCACTGCAATTGGTGAGTTTCTTCTTGTTAAGTGTCCTTCAGTTTATTTTGGTGAAAGGAGTCGTCAAGGCCTGACTGGTGAATAAGGTTACACAGGGATCTATTTACAGCAAGAGCATTTTTCAAGAAAAATGTTAATATTTGACACCATCACTGACACCACCGTTACCTATCATAACAGGAAGCTATAGAATATATTTTGATATGACATTTTATCCCAACTTCATGGCACCAATGGACAGATGGTGCTGTGAAAAAGTATTTTCTCTTTCTTAGTCTTTTGCACATTGTCACACTTTTCAGATCATCAAAAAAATGTTTAATATTATGCAGAGACAAACCAAATAAATAGAAAATGCATTTTTCAAATGATGGTTTAATTTATTGAGCGACAAAAGCTATCCAAACCCTTTGCTTGCCCTGTGGGAAAAACTAATTGCCCCTAAACCCAAAAACTGACTGTGCCACCACTGGCAGAAAGAACAGCAATTAAGTGTTTCTGATCATTGACAATGAGTCTTTCACATCACTGTGGAGGAATTCTGACTCTTCTTTGCAGAATTGTTGTAATTCAGCCAAACTGGATGGTTTTCAAGCATGCATAGCCCCTAAGGTCAAATCATCTCCACCAAATCAAATCAAATCAAATCACTTTTTTTATTGTCACATCACATGTGCAGGCACACTGGCACAGCACATGCGAGTGAAATTCTTGTGTGCGAGCCCCACAAGCAACAGAGATGTGCAAACACAACAACACAAACGAGCAAAATACAAGAATGGCCAACCTGAAACTAATAAATATATGTACAATATATAATAGTGTATGCATTTCTGGATGTGTATACTAAATATTTTCCTACGTGTGTGTGTGTGTGTGTGTGTGTGTGTGTGTGTGTGTGTGTGTGTACACATTTTTACAAATTAAATAGTAAAAAAATAAAATAAAATAATAATAATAATAATAATAAAATATATAAAATATACAGAGTTGAATATGTGCAAAACAAGTGGCATTTATATACAGTGTGGAGTGCATAATGTTGAAGTTCCAGTAGTGAAGCTGAGGTGTCTATGACGTGTTCAGCAGTCTGATGGCCTGATGGAAAAAGCTGTCTCTCAGTCTGCTGGTACGGGACCGGATGCTGCAGAACCTCCTTCCTGATGGAAGCAGTCTGAACAGTTTATGGCTGGGGTGACTGGAGTCCTTGATGATCCTCCCCGCTTTCCTCAGGCACCGCTTCCTGTAGATGTCTTGGAGGGAGGGAAGCTCACCTCCAATTATCCGTTCAGAGCACCGCACTACTCGCTGGAGAGCTTTGCAGTTGTAGGCGGTGCTGTTGCCATACCAGGTGGTGATGCATCCAGTGAGGATGCTCTCAATGGCACAGCGATAGAAGGTCCTGAGGATGCGGGGGCTCATGCCGAATCTTTTCAGTCTCCTGAGAAAGAAGAGGCGCTGCTGCGCCTTCTTCACTGTTTTGTTTGTGTGTACTGACCACGTAAGATCCTCAGCCAGATGTACTCCAAGGAACCGGAAGCTGCTCACTCTCTCCACAGCAGCGCCGTTGATGGTGATGGGGGTGTGTACTTCTCTGCACCTCCGGAAGTCCACTATCAACTCCTTTGTCTTTGCGACGTTGAGGGTGAGATGGTTGTCTTGACACCAGTGGGTCAGGGCGCTGACCTCCTCCCTGTAAGCCGTCTCATCACCGTTGGTGATAAGACCCACCACTGTAGTGTCGTCCGCAAACTTCACAATGATGTTGGAGTTGTTAGTGGCTGTGCAGTCGTAGGTGTAGAGTGAGTACAGGAGAGGGCTCAGTACACACCCCTGTGGAGCACCAGTGTTCAGTGTGATGGGGGATGAGGTGATGCTGCCCAGTCTGACCACCTGGCGTCTGTCAGACAGGAAGCTAAGGATCCAGCTGCAGAGGGAGCTGCTCAGTCCTAGATCCTGCAGTTTCCTGTCCAGCTTCGAGGGAACGATGGTATTGAATGCTGAGCTGTAATCTACAAACAGCATCCTCACATACGTGTCTCTCTTCTCCAGGTGTGACAGGGCAGTGTGTAGTGTCAGGGCTATGGCATCACCAGTGGACCTGTTGTGGCGGTATGCAAACTGTAGAGGGTCCAGTGAGTCGGGTAGTGCAGAGCAGATGAAGTCCCTGACCAGCTTCTCGAAGCATTTGCTTACGATGGGGGTCAGGGCTACAGGTCGCCAGTCGTTCAATGGGTCGCCAGTCGTTCAATGTTCAAATCACCAGATTTGAGTCTGGACTTTGACTGGGCCACTCCAAAACCTTCATTTTGTTTTTTAACCATTCAGAAGTAGACAAGCTGGTGTGTTTCAGATCAGTGCATGAACTGACAGTCGGGCATTCACTATCAGGATTTTCTGGCAGAGAGCAGAATTCATGTTTCCATCAATTACAGCAAATAGTCTTTGTTTTGAGGGAGCAAAGCAGCCACAAACCATCACTCTACCACTGCTGACTGTTGGTATGATGTTCTTTTCATGAATTGCTGTGTTACTTTTACAGGAGATGCTACGAGGCCCAAACCTTCTAAAAGGTTAATCTTTTGTCTCTTCAGACTATTTTCCCAAAGTCCAGAGGATCATCTGCATTTTATATTTACTCGGGTTATCTTTGGCTAACACTCAAATGCGCAAAAACCTAGGAAATCAGGAAGGGGCAAACACTTTCACGGCACTGCACATAATGACTGATAGTATATACTGTTACACTTTTTGACAAGTAAGTCGTGTTTGTGGACCATCCAGACAGTCCCCTCCCACCCAAACTTTATTATCAGTGTAGAAGTTCAAACATAAAGAAATGTGTATTTTTAAGTTTGCTACATGGTCAGTAGTTCAAGTATTCCTGCTCATCCTCTGCTGAGCCCCCAAGGTCCCTCACAGTGGCTTTCATTTCACTGAAACTTCACAGTGAATCTAAAATTGAAAGACAGGCCCTAAACCTCAGGTGTCACACACTCACAACAAGCCTGCTCTTTATTCTGCTCTTACCCTCCCTGTAGCCCACAAACCTTTACAGGTTGAGCGTAATTTTAATGTTGGTTGTCCTGGAGCTACTTCTTTTCAAGTCATTTCATGAGCAGGCTGCAGTCTTTAACACACCAATTTATTTATCTCAACTAAAAACTGACTCAGATGCTTCAGTTTACTACTCTGAAAACAGCCAGCCCATGGTTGTCTGACACCTCAGCTGTGGCACATCATCATTAGCATGTGGCATCAGGCTCTGCTGTAACCATACATTGATACTGTTGAATAACAGCAAAAGGAAAGCATTATAAAGAGGCGTTTACTAGATTGCCCAAAAGAAAAACATAAAACTCGGAATCTGAATATCACACCTGTGCTGACGATGCGATGGGTGGCGAGCTGCTGCATCAGGGGCTCCATGTTGGGGTCATGATGGGGGTAGAGCTGCCAGCGGGAGATGCCCAGGTGAAAGCGCAGCCACGGAGGGTGGCTGCTACTGCTGCTGTTCCAGTGAACATCCTCATAGCCGTCCTGGCTCGCACTCACCCTGAATAATGATTGCATTTGGTGAATGAAATGCACCTACAAAGCACTCTTCTACTTTAACCAAGCATTTTAAAATTAGACACACATTCATCCAGTCATGACCATTCATGACTAGAGAACTGCAATCCATACCACTGTTCACAAAGAGGCTGAGAGAGCGACCTCCCACACTACATTACAAGTGGAGGGACAAGTGGAGCACGGAGCATTCAGTCAGTGTTATTTACCAAACTGATGAGCACTTTTTAAGGTTTTAGTTTTAATCTAGCTGAAAGCCTCGGCTGTGTCACTGCTCTCCTCTGCTCGCTGTTTCACTGTCTGTGTGTGTGGGAGTGTCTGCTCACTGTTAGACAGATGCACAGGAAAAGACAACCGAAGGGGAGAGGAATTACTTGAAGATTAACTGCTGTTAGACACGTTGGTTGCTTTACTATAGTTGCAATGAACGCTTAAAGATGTCAACAGAACACGCAGAAGCGAGGCCAAATGTAAAAGGAGCCAGCTGGGAACGCTTTGATCAGCAGCAACCGCAGCATATTCAGTGTATTTCACAAAGCCAGCACAGCATCTTCACATTTCTTGTTGTGCCTGTGAAAACTGTAGCCCATATGTTTAGTTTTGCTTAGGCTACATCAATATGGGCCACAGTAGCTGAATACATGGAGCAACACTGTCAGCAGCAACAAGATACTGTGTGTGCTCCCTGCAGTCTCACCCATCTGGTGAAAATCTTGACCGACCATGTTTTCAGAGAAATATACAAAGAGGTGCAATAAAACCAGAATTACTGTGGAATACTGTGAAATTAGAAATACTGTGATTAGGTTGGAGCTTTTTATTGCTTCATCTAATGTCTTGTAGTTACTGTGGAAACAGTTTGTACAGTTTACAGTGTTGCACTTACAGTTGGGCTCATAATTTTTAGGACATAGATACATTTTTTGTACTTCTGCTTCCATACACCCCAGTGGATTTTCAATTAAACAGTTAGTATTTGACTGAACTGCACACTCTCTGCTTTAATTCTTTTTTCCTATCTTTTGTTTTTTTTTAAAACTGTGCATGAACTCTTTAGGAATTACGGACAGATTTTTATACAAAGGCCATTTTTATGCATATGATTGACTGAAAAGCAATATATGGCCAGATGAGGCCTGTTCTCTTATTATTTCATGACAAATGGAGTAGAATTAACATCTGATTCAATTCATAGCTTTTTGGAGTTCAAATATGAGGCCCAAGGAGGAGTATATCATTATGCTGAAACAATAGATACATCTATTAAAGAATTAAGGGGTCAGTCAACAATCTGGCACATTCTTAAAAAGAAAAGAATCCCTTGGTTAGTTCATTGTGACCAAAAGACCTGCACGATGACAGAATTATTCCCATGCAACTCAAGGAAGGAAACACAGCTGAAATTCTGCCCTTCAATCATGTATTAGTTTGACTTAAACTCCGCTGGGATGGTGTGCAGACCAAGAACTACAAAAACTGCATCTTTATCCAGCAAATTATGAATTTAACTGTATGAGACGTTTCAGTAACAAAGCAAAACTGAGCTGAATATGAACTGAAAGGTGCTAAAGCAAAATATCCAAAGCAAAGATTGGTGAAGGAAAGTGGTTTTAGAAAGCTAAAGTACTGTTTGACTGTGGTGTTGAGGAGTGATGCTGTCAAAGGAAGCATGAGTCACAAGCATACGGTCTTTGCATATTAAGTGCATCATACTGACCACCTCTGGGAGCTCCTCTCACTCGCCTTGACTTTTGGTTTCACCCTCAGCAGCCAGTCCTCTTCAGGGACAGGAGGGCTGGGCATGTTGTAAAGTGGGTGACCAAACAATGCCTCCAGCTTTAGCAAGTCTGACTCAATTGAGGCATTTTTGCCTCCTTTGTCAGAAAGTGGTCGTACATGACTCTTAACCATCTTCTTTCCATCTTTATGGGAAGAATCTGTTTGTATATTATCAGTTGGTAGCTCAGCTGGACCTCTGATCACCACAGAGGTGTAGTTGGTGTGTGCCAGGTCTCTTGGAATGTGTGTCCTGGGTGGCAGTGGGGTGTCACAAGGCTGGTGGTAAATGGAAAATGAAACAAGAGCCAGGAGGAGGTGAATGAAAATGGTGACGAAGGCCAAGGACAGACAGATTGTCCTGGAGCGCCGGCGTATACGCCACATCATCCTACTGAAAAGAGAGTGATAAAGAATGAGGAGAGGTGAATGCATGAGGGGGAGAAAAGAAAATGGAAGAAGATTTTTAATGAAACGTTAGCAAAGTGTAAAATTTAAAGCAAAAACATACCAAAAAAGCAAAATACCAGTATTAAGTAGAACATAGCCTTGATAAAGGCTCATATTCCTTCACCTGCTCTTCTTCTAATTTGACCTTGTAATGCATTCATGAATCACAGGAGTCTCCATCTGGCATATGAAGAGAAAATGTGAGTAAAGAGTGACGTACACAAACCTTTTAATGTTGCCTGACACCTCTCAGCTGTTGTTAGTGTGTTTCCCAGAGGAATAATAAAGAGATTCAGTATCCAGTCAGCCTTGTCTTCTTTATCTACATGCGACCGGGAGTGGTGCCAGGTTAAAGTGATCTGGATATAAATCAGTGTGTTTACTCATCTCTTTCAACCCAAGTGATTGGGGGAGAGGGGGTTGGGGGGTAAAGCATTTGCCCTGTATAATGTCATTCTTCTCTGACAAGAGTAAAAGCAAAAAATGTAGCGTATGGCAAAAAAAAAAACCCTAATAAATACACCTAAATCTACTAAATCTTTACACAGTTTAAATAAGTTTTCAGTTTTAAAGCCTGATTTTGTCTGTTCTTACAATAAGCACGGCTATATTGCTACTGCTGCAGAAAGACTTCTGTCCTTCATTCCAGGACTTTCCAAGACAAGTTTTGCTCTTCTGTCTGTTTGGAGGAAACTTCTAGCTTTCAGCTGAAAGCTTCGGGCCGGTCTCAGATCCAATGACAATGTAGAGATGAAAACTCTTTGAAGAACACCTTATTCACACTTTCAGATAACAAGATGAACTTTATTCCATGGGGAACATTCAGTTCACACACAGTTATTCATGAGAAAGACACATCTTTCTAAACCATACAAACGCACAAAATGCTAGAGCAGAGCAGAGTCAAGTGACAGAATATATTAGCTTGCAGAACCCTTTACTAAAGAGTATTAGATTAGCTGTTATTTGTGCATCTTATTGAAATTTTGTAACCTATTCAGGGGGCTAGGCTCAAGGTGTTTTCAGAATCAGACTGATTCAAAATGTTACTTAAATTACTTAAATGTTCATTATTTTGGGAAGCTTGCAAAAGAAAAAGGCCAGAAAGCGAGAATTAAACTCTCCATTCATCCATTATCTTAACTGCTTATCCAATTTAATGTGACACAACACAGACAAACCTTTCACACTACTGCACCACTGTGCTGTCTTTGCAAATCATGTAAACACAATATTTTCTGTGAAAAGTACTATGAGAAAATATTAATGTTGATACAGAGAAAAAACATGTTTTCATTCTGAGCTTGATAGCAGTGACATGATTTTTTTAAATCCCTGGGACAAGAGCGTGTTTACCACTACGTTGCATCACCTCTTCTTTTCACCACACTCTGTAGGAATGTGCTTTGGCACTGGCCTGTTGAAATAAGTTTTTTCTGTCGTCTGAACTGCACTATATGTTGTTCCAACACCTGCATTTTGATAGGAAAATGGGAAATAAGTGCAGCAATGCACTGAAACATGCAAACATACTCATATACAATATTTAAGGTTAAAAATAGTTTATATAATTCTAATGAGTTTGAAAGTCAATATTTGGTATGACCATCTTTATTCTTCAACATAGCCTGAACTCCCTGAGGTAAGCTTTCTTCTGATTTCCTTAAAAAATCTTCAGGAATAGTTCTCCAGGCTTCTAGAAAGACATTCTTCTTTGGATGTTGGCTGCCTTTTGTGCTGATCTGTCAAGATGGTCCCACACTGCTTCAAAAACGCTGAGATGTTGAGATTCTGTTGAGACCTGTGCATGATTGATAATGTTCTATTGTGTCTTTTTCTATCCATGTTCACTTGTATTGCTTTGACAATGTGCTTGGGATCATTGTCATGCTAAAAAATGAGTGTGTAGCCAATCAGATGCTTTCTAGATGGTATTGCATGGTAGATTCAAATCTGATGGTACTTTTCTGCGTGCACAATTCCATCAGTTTAGACAAGATATCCAATGGCACTGGCTGAAATGCAGATGAAACCATGGCAGAGCCTCCAACGTGTTTTATGTGGCTTCCTTCATATATCTTCTTGTTGAAATAATCGTAGTGTATGTATGCATGTCTGTTTCTTAACTGTTCATTTATCCTGAAATGAAGGACAGAAGTCTTTCTGCAGCAGGCTGCATCTTCTTGGTATTTCTTTGCATGGTAGAGTTAATTTTTGGAAGTGTTCTTAAATTCATGCAGTGATTCCCACTGTTTTTTTTTTTTAATGCAATATCACTAATATTCAGTACTGTTTCCTGTAGATGTCTTTATAATGAAATCTGATTACACAGAGGGATGCCTGCAGGCTTTAAGTTATTAGAAATCATTGAATTCACATTTTACACAGTGTCCTAAATTTTGTGGAAATGTGCCAGATACATATCAGTTTATCAGTCTGTTGGAAGCATCACCGCAGCAGACTTCTTAATCAGGCAGCGGGCGAGACAGATGTTTCATATTCTGCATGTGCGTTTCTGCTGAGACTTTGATTCAAGTACCTCAGGACTCGTTCAAAGTCCCACAGGATACGCCGTTTCTGTGAAGCATGACTTTTTAAAGTCTGTGTGTGTATGCGTGTGATCGTGTAGAGAGATCCACGTGAACGATATGGGAGCACTCCCCAAAATCCACGTGTCGCACCCACCTATATGGTATGTGCTGACATCGTGACTCATCTATATAAGCTTAATAGAATAATTAAAATAGATTTACTTTGAGGATTTTCCTCTATTCTCAGAGGTGATTGTTTTCTTTTAATTATTTATCATCATTTATAAAACATCGACGTTTTGGATAACAACATGAACTAAATGCAAATGAAGAAACAGAAGTACACATTATAAAACCCACAGTGGGGCTGAAAGCTGTTGGAGACTGGAGGAATTCAAAAATATTTTTGCATGTGTCTCTGAAAAATGAATACCCAAAGGTAAAGGATTATTTTAAGTTTCATTTTCATTACTGGATGGATGAGAAAAAAGGACACAATGTCCAAACAGTGAAAAGGTAGGGGTGAACGTTTATCACCCTTTATTACAGAGCTCTTGTGCAATCAAGGAAAAGGGAGCTTTTGTTAGTAAATGCAACAACTGTGCTGAAATGAGGAATTTGACGTAGGCGTTATTATTATGCTATTAGCTAATCAGTGGTAAAGAGGTAGCCCATAGCTGAGGCTAACTGGAAAGTCTCACAGAGTTTACAGGCATTTGTGTGTAAGTCAAAGAACCAGGTCATCTAGGCGTAAACTACATTTTTTAACCCTCCTGTTATGTTGCGGGACAGATTGACCCAGAACAGAACAGATGTCACATGTCATCTGCATCACTACAGAAAACGAAAAAAATCAAAATTATACAAGAAAACTGTAAAATAATCAATGCCAGTGCTTCTGACACTTTTGGATGAGTAAACATGCCCCAGGTCAAATTGACCCAGGAACGTTGTTCAACAACATAACAGGAGGGTTTAGTTGAATTCACCCCTGGACAGCCAAAGTGAGGCTAGCACTAGGCTTAAACTCAGAGAGTTTAGATGCTAGCTGTATGTTAGCTTACAGTGGATTGTGTGTGCAGTGGTGCTCTTCTGCAAATTTTATTCATCCATTGTGAGTAGAATAAACCAGCGATTAGAATAGAATGTGTTTAGGTTTGCTTAGATAATAGAGAGTGGCTGGAGATCAGAAGAACAGGACGGATTTCTAAGAGTGTGTTTTGTTAGGATGACGTTGTCAACCCCTGTTTAAAGGACAATTGTGGACATTCATTCTCAAAGCATTTCGTGTGGCCTTAAAGTTCTCAAGAATGAAATTCAGTTGCTGAACCCATCCTCTGAAGTGCCAAATGAGTTGGTTTAGCTATAAACTCTGGTGTGTAACTGTATAGGGTGAGGAATCTATTGACAGTGGGTGTCTGCCTGTCATAAAATGAGGACTAAGAGCTGCCTTAGCCACAGATACGAGTCTGGGGAGGACAGAACAATAGAATTAGTGGAAAACTACTGAAGAGGGATGACACAGGGCAGCCCATCTCACTAGTATCATATCGATACCAATAGCATCATTGGTATCGATACTTGAATGTCGGGCCACTTCTGCTGTTTTTGTTTGCCTGTGTTTATCTTTTGCTCAGCCACTGACTCATTTCAGTCCACCTGGAGTTCTAGTTATTTCTGTTATTTTCCTAAAGTCTCTCCTTTTTTACCCCTTCTCTCTCCAGTTAAAGCTCAAGTCATGAACAAATGTTGGCTCGACTTGACATTTATGACTCATTTCCACTCACATCCACTGAAGCAGAAGCTTAAGTTCAGCTTAAATTGTGTGGTGTGGATTCTATGCACCAAATTTTATAGCAGTCCATTCAATATTGAAATATTTTTTTTAATATCCTTTTTATGTGGAACTATGCGTGTGTTTAATGGAGTCACTTTAAAGTGTCTTAGTTGATGATGACCGTCACAGTATTCAAGAGCTACTTTAATGGTGCTTTGCATACCATCCAGGTCTCCGACACTTAAGAGCTGAAAAGCCGTCTTTCAAAATATGTTTCCTGAATGGTTGTTATTTTTTATCGTGGAGGAGGACACTCTAAACCAGGGGTGAGCAACTCCAGGCCTCGGGGGCCGGTGTCCTGCAGGTTTTAGATGTGTCCTTGATCCAACACAGCTGATTTAAATGGCTAAATTACCTCCTCAACATTTCTTGAAGTTCTCCAGAGGCCTGGTAATTAATTTGATTCAGGTGTGTTGACCCAGGATGAAATCTAAAACCTGCAGGACACCGGCCCTCTAGGCCTGGAGTTGCCCACCCCTGCTCTAAACCATTAGGTAGGTCTTGAGTTGGATTGCAATGAGGTGACTTTAAAGGCTGCTAACAAAAAAAGGTAAAGTGAGTACAACATGTCT